AAGGATCACGCTTCTAGAATCACCTGAAAGAGACCGTTAAATTTCAAAACATGTATTTTCATCCTCACGTTGACCCAAATCAGGGCACTTCAGCCCAGTTCCTTCATGCCCTCTCCTGTGTTCCTTTCAGATGGTTTAGGCAGAAAACTCCCAGACAGAGGTACATGGAGGGAATCAAGAGGCAAAAGACAGGTACAGTAGTGAGGGCCGGGGATTTAGCTCAGTGGCACCATGCCCGCCTCACAAGGCCAAGGTCCTGAGTTCCATCCCCAGTACAAAAAAAAAAAAAAAAGTAGTAAGTGAGCAAAGGAAATTGAGTTAGAAACTTCAAAGTTCAATCCCCAGCCACTTGGACAGGCTCCCAGTGCTCAGCTCTAACCGAAGGTGCTGTGCCAGACTTCAGCAGGACGCTACCATTTGCTTTAGCAGGAAGCTAACCTCAAGTGCCCATCCTAAAAGCAAAGCTGACCCTTATCCTGAGATATGGAAGGGAGAGCAGCCATTTTCTACAGAAAGGGCAAACTAAACTGGGCGTGGTGCTGCACACCTATAATCCCAGCGCTCTGGGAGGCTGAGGCAGGAGGATCATAAATTCAAGCCAGCCTGGGAAGCTAGATTTAAAAGACAAAAATGGCTGGGCATGTAGCTTGGTGCAAAGGCCCTGAGTTCAAAGTGCAGGTCGCTATTCTGAAAGGGGAACACCAGACAGGCCACCTGCAACACTAAAGCTGTCAGCAGGAGGCGACTGTCACACCCAGTAAAGATGCCAGGGGCTGTTCAGAAATGTGCCAGAGTCCTGTGGAACTGACAGGCTCAACATGGTCCAACAAAAACTAAAATAAAGCATACATTTCTGAGTGACTGTTTCTCAAGCTCAGTGGCTGGGAGTGCTTCATTCCAGAGAATCACACCCTGATAGCAGGCAGAGCCCACACCCCATTAGCCATCAGAGCAGATTCAGAAAAAAGGATTGAGGCTGAAACAACACCTCCAACATCAGAGTCTGGGTAACGGTTCTGTAAACCACTTCTGGAGGTCACAGCCTCGGTAGTCTAAAGGGGCAGGGCTTCTAGGAATACCTGCAACTAAAGGGGGATCTCTGGGGGTGACCTCCATGTGCTCTGGAGCCACCCACTGTGCTCTTAGCCAGCCCTGAGACCCCACCCATGGGGATTCAGCAGTCAAGCATGGAAAGATCCAGGTTGTAAGGCATCCCTGAGTTGGGACACTAGGCGAGAACCACTTTAGAGGGCACCCACATCTTCATCTTCATTCCTGACCCTATAATGGATCTTCTCAGCTAACTCTTGGGTCCCTTGTCCTGGCAGCCAATTACCCATAGGTTCAGTACACAGGGAAAGATCTGACGAGAGAAGCCACTGATGGCTCCTTTCAAGGACTTGCAAAGGGAATTGGGTTACTCTGTCCAGTGTCCAGTTTGGGAAGCCATGATCAAAATGGGAAGCAGGTTCCAGAGTGCTGGATAAGGTCTTCTCCCTATGCCCCGGCAGGGACCCCCTCAAGGTCAGCCCTCCTGCATACTGTGCCCACCCTCAATGAGGTTATCCATGGCGTGGAGAATGCTGTGGAGGGAGGAATTAACCACTGTGATTCACCCATTGGTGCGGTGGGTCACATCCTGAGGAAGGAACAGCAGGCACTTGATGGACCTGTCCTCCTAGTCAGCTGCTAAGGTCCCGCTGCATCGGACTGCTCTGCCTCTTGGCCAAGGCCAAGCCAGGACAGACATAGAATGATGCAGGAGTCAGAGACCCAGCAGAGAACAAAAAGGAGAGCAGGGGTGCGGGGAGGCCGCTGCTCACACAGAAGTAGCTGCCTCCAGAAGCCTTGCTCTCCAAATGCAGTCCATACGTAAGTATCAGTCACTTCTGCCTCTGCGTCATTGCAGCGCTTAGAAAAAAATCATTCTTTGGTGCCACCACCTGCCTCGCAAGCAAAGGTCCTGAGTTCGATCCCCGGTACCAAAAAAAAAATCATTCTTTCAGGAGCTCATTGGGTTTCTCAAAAAAGCTTTCTCTGACTATGCACTGAGATAGCTGTTCCAAATGACCCTTCCCCTTACTATTTGCTTTTATTCTTTTCTTTTTTCTTTCTTTGTTTTGGTCTATAAGAACCTGAAGGCTGTTCAAGGTCATACAGGATGGAGATGGCATGGGGCAGCTGTCACGGGGCACCAAGGTTGTCTGGTTCCAAAGCTGATGCTCAGCAGAAGTCCTGGGGAGCCCCACAGCGTGAGCTCAGCAGAATGGTGAGAATGAAGGATCAAAGGACCTAGGTTTGGCCCGGACTCCTCACTTAACAGACTGTGTGTCCTTAAGTTCCTTAACCTCTCTGAGCCATTTCAGTATCTGAGAAGTGGATCCTATCTCACGCCTAGGTTTGGAAGAGGATTAAACGAAATATTTGGGGAGGAAAGCGAGCATCTGAGGGTAAGAAACCTGCTGCAACCACCCAGCCGGGTGAGATGCAGACCCTGACCTGGGTCAACAGGAAGGAAAAGAGGACACTCGAGAGGTCAGGAGATTGGAAGGGGACACAGCACTCTCTGCCTGCTCGAAGAGTTAGAAGAGCTCTGTCCCTAGAACTCGCAGGACACATTGCAACCAGGCCAGCAGCTGTTTGTAGTTGATGTTAGTGCCTCACACCCATGCTCCAGCTGGGCCTCTGGCCCCCACACTCAGTAGCTCAGGGAATCATCCCTAAAATGGTATCATACCAGGTGTGGTGGCGCACACCTATAACCCCAGCACTTTGGGAGGCTGAGCCAGGAGGACCACAAGTTCAAGCACAACCTGGGCGACTTAGCAAGAACTTCCCTCAAAATAAAAAATTTTTAAAAGGGCAAGGGTTGTCACTTTGTGCAATGGCCCTGGGTTCAATCCCAGTACCAAACAAACAAACTGAAAAAGACACCTTTATAACAGCTATCTTTTCCAACGATTTCAAGGATTTATGAATTCATAGTAAAGTGCTTAGAACTGTGCCTAGCATGCAAGAAACCATGAAGTGCTAGCTACTTTTTTTTTTTTGGTACCAGGGATCAAACTCTGGACCTTGTGCTTTCCAGGCAGGCAGTGGCGCCACTGAGCTAAACCCCAGCCCTACTTATTATTTTTATTATAGTATGTCCAAGGCAAAACAGATCTTTCTCTGTGTAATTTTCATAAAATATATACCAGTGGTGTCCTATGCATAAGTCAACTGCACAAATCCCCATGAACTGAAAACAGTGTTGCTGGCGTGCCGGAACACCACTCTACAGATTGTGCTCCCTGCTTCTGTACAACTGACAGATAGAACCCTAGAGTGGTTGGTCTTTCGTCCCTGGCTGCTTTCACTCACCACTAGTCACAAGACTGTCCCTTTGTCACTGGTTCTCAGTGCTGCCTATTGATACACTGTGTGATGGCCTCACCCCATGTTCTGCTTTTCACAGGCAACACAGCCCTCTGGATCCCATCCCCCCACACCCACTCAGTATTGCGGTGGGCAGGGCAGGTTACAGCTTTTACAGACCGGCTGGTGTCTCCCATGAGCTTGTGGTGTCTTGAGACAGCTGCCCCCTTGAGATGCACACTGCAAAGGCCAAGTCACTTCTGAACTCACTGTGTAAACCACTCTGGGCTGAATGGCCCTCTGGCAATCTGAGTACATGTAACAGCTCCACTAGGTCTGAGGCTGGGTCTAGGAGCCAGGTCAGCCCTGGAGTCAGGTCAGCCAACTGGAGAGCATCCTGAGGAAAAGGGCTGCAGTCTGCAATGTTCCTCCCCTGCTCTGGGGCTGCCTGGGGCTGTTGGTGAGAAGAGACCAGAGGAAGCTGGCCAACAGGGCCACAGGAGTCCGTGTGGGGCAGGTCATGCCTGTCTCCATCGTGGGGCCCCAGAGCTACCCTTGCAGCAACTGCCTTGTCCCAGACCCCATGGTGGTGCATGCCTGTCATCCCAGTATTCTGGGAGGATTGCAAGTTCGAACCCAGCCAGACCTTGTCTCAAAATTTAAAAAATAAAAAAGTGGCTGGAGATTTAGGAGAATGTGAAGGCTGGGGATGTAGCTCAATGTGAATCCCCAGTATGAAAGAAAGAAAAGAAGAGAGAAAATAAATCTTCTCATGTTCAAGATGGAAAGGATAAGAAAAGACAGGTATCAAAAATGGAATCATAGTAGCTCTAAGAGGAGAAAAAGCTGCTTGTTTTCACAGAGAGATGAATTTAAGACATTAAGATTTTAGTTGTCATATTTAAGAGTGCTGAAAATGTTGGACAATACTTGGCAGTAATGCTATGCAGGAACGCGTGGTCTCCTATCTTCTTGGTAGGACCCTAAATTAGCACAACCTCCATGGAGGAAATTTTGGAAATGTCAAAATTGCAAATGCGCATACCCTATGGTACAACAAGTTTGCTTTTAGAAACTGATTCTACTGGGATACGAATGAAATTATATTCCAATGCTTATAACTTTAGATGAAGTTAAGCAGCATCCACTTAGGACCCAAAATCTGACACTAAGGAATTGGTTAAACTATGGTATTACTTTGGGGAATACTACGCAATTGAAAGGGAAGAAAGAAAAGGAGGAAGGGAAGAGGGGAAGCTCTCTCAGTGAATTATAAAATTTCCAAGTTAAACTGTTAAGTCAAGAAGGCATTGAAGACCCATGAGCTAGATAAGCTTCCACCTGTGCTAAACGGGAAAATAAAAAAGATTCACTTTTCTCTGGATGGAAAGCTCTGAAAGGAACTACAGAAATAGGTAACCTCAGAGGGAAACAATAGCTGAGGGTCAGGAATGGGATTTTATCTTGTGGGTTTTGAACTGTGTGACTGTAGTAACAGTTCAAAAACAAGCAATGGGGCTGGAGGTATAGCTCCATGGTAGTGCTTGTCCAGCACCTACCGGACCCTGAGCTCCAGGCTCAGCACCAAAAAAATAAACAAATTTTACAATACTTTAAATACAGGGATTTATGAGGTCTCTATACTCCGTGACTACAAATGTGTACATAAGTATCTGTTTGACACCCATTCAAGATGTACATCCATACAGTGTGCCCTTCAGGTAAATTATATTTCACAATGGAAAAAGAACCCCACAAAACTGGGAGTCCCCAGGCGGAAGAGGTGACCCAAACAGGTTCACTAAGCCCCACCCTCACCCCGGGGTGGGGGAGGGATGGCAGAGCATGGGTTCCCCAGTCTGGCAGGGTGCCAGGCGGGCCCCGAGTCCAGCATGGTTGCCCTGTCCACGGCCTTCGTCCGCAGCTGCAGCGTCTCTTCTTTCCTGGGTCGCCTTGGCTCCATTGTTGGCCTAGGGGGTCAGGACCCGCCGATTCCTGCATTATTGATGCTCGCGCCTAAGGGGGGAGCCCAGCGTCAGTTGAGCCCGTATCCCCGCCAGAGCAGAGCCGGAGTGGTGCGCAGCCCGAGCTGAGGTCAGTCAGACTCCCCAAAAGGGAAAAGAACTGGGGCGTGTGAGGGCCGTGTTCTCTGGGTCGGCCATGGGTGGGAACAAGGGTAAAGCGCCCCGCTGCCGGGCGAGACCCAGGAAGCCGAGCTCGGCGGAACAGGAGTCCGAGTCGGGGGACCGCAGACCCGGCACGCGCAAAGCCCGCCAGGCGACACCGGCCTCGCAGCACGACACCGACGGGGACAAGGGGACCGCTGGTGGCCGCAGGAAGCCCATCGCCGAGGGTATCGGAGGAAGCTGCAGGCCTGGAGCTGGGCCCCCACCAGAGGCCCAGGAGAGGCGAGGCAGCACGCGGCGTCGGGGACACCGCGCCACGGAGGGTTGCGCGCCCGGGGACAGCTGTGGGGCGCGCCGGGGGGACGGCGAGGGGCAGTCTGAGGAGAAGACGGAACGGGGACAGAGCCTTCCCGGGGAGGAAGGGCGGACAGGCCACCGCGGCCGCCGCAAGAGGAGAGGGCACGGGGGATATGGGCGGAGAACGGCGGCTCGGAGGGGCCGCGGCTGGGACTCGTCGGGCGCGGACGGGGCCAGCTCGTGGGCCGACAGTGAACCCCGCGAGGTGTCGGAGCCGGCGGACACGGCCTCGGAAGGGACCACAACCGGGCCAGAGCCGACCCTGGAGCCCGGCGAGCGCCAGAGCAGCGACGAGGCTCGGGCCGGGACGTCGGGGACCAGGGATCAGGGGGCGAGCGAGGATTCGGGGTCGGGGACGCACGCGGAGCTGGGGGCAGCCGAGGGCACCGCCAGCCCGGTCTCCGGCGCCCGCGAGGCGCAGGGCGGGCAAGACGAGGCCTCCCTCGCGCTGGAGAGCCGAGGCGCGCAGGTTCCCGAGAGCCCGCAGCAACGTCGTGACTCCGGGTCGCAGCCAGGAGATGTGGCAGAAACGGCGGAGGCCTCCACTGCCCGGGCGCAGGGCCGCCAGGTGGGAAAGGTGGTGGGGAAGGTGCAGGCTGCGGCTGACGAGAGCCAGGCAGAGGCCAGAGAGGGAGAAGGACCGGGGGACCCAGGTCCCGGGGACCCGGCACCGCTGGCCGCCCTTGTGGTGCTCCGCAGGGTCGGCGCGAGGCCCCCGCCCGACACCTCTCCCCAGGCGGCGGGCCTCAAGGCGCGGCTCCTCCGCGTGGTGCGGACCCTAGGCCTCCTGCGGTGGCTGCGGTGGGGGCTTCGACGCGGGCTGAGACAGCCTTCCGGCGAGGGGCGGGGGCCGGGGAGGGAGGGCGAGGGGCGGGGGCCGGGGAGGGAGGGCGAGGGGCGGGACCGCTCCTCTCGGCTGCGGCGCCGACTGGCTTTGCGCCTGACAGGCTTAGCCCGGTTTGGGGGACCGCCGATGGCGCCCTCTGGCGGCGGCTTGAGCCCTCCGCAGTCCCGGAACAGCCCAGTCCAGGACTCCTCAGACTACGAGGACCCGACTCCCGATCCCAAGTTCGCAGTCGTGTTCCCCAGGATCCACAGGGCGGGGAGGGCGTCGAGCAGCAGGAGCTCAGAAGCGTCCGCAGACGCCCCCAGTGGGGAGGGTCGCGTGTGGCCTCGTGCAGGGGCTTCAAGGGCCAGTGAAGGCCGCAGGGAGAGTGGGGAAGGAGTCAGCAGGTCCTGCGGCGCCTCTGTGGTCTCACCGACTCCACCCGACGAAACTCCGCTAGAGAACGGCTCCAGCAGCAAAGCGGAGCCGGAGACCTCGGAGGCCGTGCCCCCCGGGCACTGGGCGCTGGGTTCGGGGCCCTACGAGGACCCCAGTCCAGGCACCGACACGCTGCTGCCCCGACTCACCTTGGAGACCCGCCTGCGGCGCGAGAGGAGTTACTGCGGGTCCCCCGGGGGCCAGTGGGAGCTGGAGGATGAGACCGAGGCGGCGCTGGAGAGGGACCTGGAGCAGAGCCTTGGGCCCAGCCTGGAAGCGCCACCCTTCCCGGGTGTGGAGGACAGGAGCCCCAGAGAGGGTCTGGAAGACACTGAGGACCTGGCTAGGCTGCGGTGAGTGCACGCAGCTCCTCATATCCCACCCCACCCTCATCTTTATGAATGTATAGCCCCTCTTGGATCCAGAAGAGGTTTTTGCCCCACAGAAGATCTTCTGGCTGGAGGGGCAGGTGGGGAGTGAAAAGTCAGGCGTCCCTTCCGGGGGCATGTTTTCTAATTGGCAAAAGCTTCCCCCTGGATCCCGGCCTGGTGCGGCTAGAGTTACTGAACCCCCCAGGTTGTGTGTGTGTGGAGGGGTGGGGTGGGGGGGTGGGATACCGGGGATTAAAGCCAGGGCTCTGACTTACACTCACAGCCTTTTAATTTTTTATTTTTGAGACAGGGTCTTGCTAAGTCACTAAGTTGCTCGGGCTGAGGGCAAACTTGTGAGCCTCCTGCCTCCCAGAGCACTAGGACTACAGGCGTGGCCCTGATCTGGGGTGGTTGACCTGCCCCAGGTGTCCCTGCAGCCAGTGGCAGCCAGCCCAGGGCCTCCCTTATCCCCGGCTGCTCACCCCCACCCCTCCTGTGCCCACAGGCTGGTGTGTGACAGTTCTGTCTTGTTGTGCCTCAAGAAGAGATTTCACCTCGGCCTCATCTACGTATGAAGGGCTCCAGGGAGGGATGGTGGGCTGCCATTCCCCCTCCTCTGGGCACAGAGGCTCCCCAGCACATCTGAGGGCTCTTAGGCCCTGGGCTGTGTGGGGAGACCTCTGCCTAGAGTGCTGCTGAGCAGAGCCAGGGCTGGGCTGGGGTCACCGGAGCCGCCCCCTTTGCAGTCCCCCTGCTCCCCCCATGTTCTGATGGGGGCTTCTGCTTTCTTCCCCAGACATTTGGCGGGCCCTTCCTGCTCTCTCTGAACCCCTACCAGCCGCTGCCTCTCTTCTCACCTGAGGTCTTGGCCAGCTACCAAGCAGGGAAGGCCCCCAGCACCACCCCGTAGGTGACTTTGCCCCTTGGACCCTGTGCTCACCTCCCAGGTGGCCAGACCCCCAGCACATCCAGTGACAGGTCCCGAGGCCTGTGGGCACGTCCTGCCCACATCTGGGTCTGTCCCCAGATGCACCTCTCTCTCCTCCCCCAGACACCTCTTTGCCATCGTGGCGGCAGCCCACAGCCTGTCTCAGAGCCCAGGCCGGGACCCCTGCATCCTCCTGGGGTGAGTCCTGCTGTCCCGCTTGGCTGAGCCCACAGACTGAGGGCCTGCAGACTAGGCATTATGGGTAGCCGCTCTGGACTCGACCAGGGCTGTGCGCCTCAGGTCCTCACACATCACCCCGGAGTGGCATTTCTCTTTGGTCTCCACACCTCAGGTCTCTCTTTCCTCAACTCTGGGGAGTTCCCCTAGGGTAGGTGTCTCTTCCGCATAGCACATCCCCAGTGCCCAGGCTCCTTGGGGCCATCACCTGTGCCCTTCCTGGAGACCTTCCAGGTGGCCTTCTCCCATCCTTAGCTCTTCCCTCCTGCAGGGGGCGCAGCGGCTCAGGGAAAACAGAAGCCACTAAGATGATCTTGCAGTTCCTAAGCAGCCTGGAACAGGGGCAGACAGGGGAAAGAGGGTGCCAGGTGAGGCTGGGATGGAGGCTGTCTCCCTCCAGGGGGCAGCTGGCCACTTCCTTTAGGCCAGTAGGGTGGTGACTTCTCCTGGGTCATTAGTCACAGGCGTGGCCAGGTCTGGGATGGGGGTGGGGCTCGGGGCAGCAGGGGGCAGGAGGGGCGCAGAGGGAGGGCGGCACAGGCAGCTGGCATAGAGAGCCCTCAGTGGGTGGCGGCACCGCTGTTGTCCCAGGGACACTTGAGTGACTCTCCCCCCACACAGCTGAGTGACCTGCTGCCAGTACTCAGTAGCTTTGGCCACGCTAAGACCATCCTCAATGCCAACGCCAGCCGTTTCGGCCAGGTCTTGTGCCTTCATCTGCAGCAGTGAGTGATGGGGTCCTGGTGGGCACAGGGGCACCTAGGGGGCATTATCCTTCCTGGGAGCCCTGGGTTGCTGCTCTTGGCCCCAGGCCCTGGTGGGCCCATTCTGAGAGAGGCCCCTTGGTGTGTGCCCTGGGCACCCAAATCTGTCTCCTGTGCCCACAGTGGGGTCATCTCGGGAGCCTCTGTGTCACATTATCTGCTCGAGGCTTCCAGAGTGGTGTTTCAGGTGAGGGCCACCCTCCTGTCCACCTCATCACCGCCCCAAGAGTGGGAAGGAAGAAGGGGCTGTGGCTCCAGGCACTGCTCCCCTAATCCAGTCTTGCTCCCCAAGGCCCAGGCTGAGCGGAGCTTCCATGTTTTTTATGAGCTGCTGGCAGGGCTGGACCCCAGGGAGAAGGAGCAGCTCTCACTTCAGGGACCAGAGAGCTACTACTACCTCAACCAGGTGGGGCATGCCCTCGACCTCATGTGCGGGGGAGGGAGCTGCCCAGACAAGGGTCTCCGCCCACTGGCCCTCAGAGGAGCCAGATGGTGGGGCCTGCGGGAAGGCCATGCCCTACCCCTCAGCCCACTGTGCTTGCAGGGCCAGGCCTGCAGGCTCCAGGGCAAGGAGGACGCCCAGGACTTCGAGGGACTGGTGACGGCCCTGCAGGTGCTGGGCTTGTGCCCTGAGGAGTTGACCACAGTCTGGGCCTTGCTGGCCACTGTCGTGCATCTGGGCAACATCTGCTTCTCTTCTTCAGAGGTGGGCTTCACCTGTGGTCAGGGCCAGTGGGGATGGGGATGCAGGGTCAGCCATGGTTGTTTGCATGATCAGGGCAGTGACAGTGTTGCCAAGCCCTCGTGCATAGGAAACTACAAAGCTCTGGGCCAACCCGGAAAGCAGATATCCCCATTGTACAGATGAGAAGGCCACCCTGGTGCTTCTACATCTTCCTGATACCTCTTCCACTCAGCTGCCCTAAGAAGAGCACCTGGCATTAACTGAACAGCTATTATGTGCAGGGTACTGGAAGCATCACCTGACAAGTGTTTTCTAACTTAGTTCTTGTGACAACACCATGACTGAAGTGTGACCGTTTCTCCTTTAGCAGTAAGGCAGTAGGGGCTCAGGAAGGGAAAGAGACTCACAGATCTGCCTGGCTAGTAAGGTGAGAAGGTGAGGACTTGCACTCAAGGCCCTCAGACCCAAAGCGTGGCTCATGATGGCCCAGATTTCCCCACGTGCTATTATCCCTTTGTGTCACAGGGCAGCTGGGTCCCTGTCTCTGCCCTGGGGAATACGTCCACTCCACAAGCAGACCTCTCCCTGTCCCTTCCTCCACCCAGCGGGAGTCCCAGGAGGTGGCCTCCGTGTCCAGTTGGGCCGAGATCCACACAGCAGCCCAGCTGTTGCGGGTGCCCCCAGAGCACCTGGAGGGGGCTGTCACCAGGAGGGTCATGGTGAGCCCAAGGGTCCTGGGGAGGTGGGGAACGGTCCTACCACCTTTGGCCTGGGTGCCTGCTGGGCCTGACAGGCACCTCCCCTGGCCTCCAGGAGACACCCTACGGCCGGGTCTCGAGATCCCTGCCCGTGGAAAGTGCCATCGATGCCAGGTGGCCCTGGGGACGGGAGAGCGGGCCAGGCCGGTGCTCTGCTCTATGTGGCTGACTCCCAGTGCCTCCAGGGATGCTCTGGCCAAGGCCCTGTACTCTCGGCTCTTCCACTGGCTCCTGAGGAGGATCAACGCACAGCTGGCAGCCCCTGGGGAGGGAAGCAGCGAGGGCACCATCACGGTCGTGGACGCCTATGGCTTTGAGGTCAGCCCTCGGGTGGGACCCAGGATGGGGCACCCCACTTCATTGTGTTGTGTTTCTGGGGGTTGCCAGCTCCTCCTGAGCCACCTGCTTGTGGGGCCATGTCCCTTCTCTGGCTCCTTCTGCAACTACTGGGCAGCTGAGGGGTCAATGGCACCAGGATGGGGCCTGGCCATACGAGGATGGAGGCGAGGGAGCAGGCCCTGCCTCTGGGGACACAAGTGATGCTGGCAGGTAACTGTAGGGTTCTCGCTTCACTCACCTCCCAAGGGTGTGACTGAGAGGAGGATGTCCCTGCCACGTGCCCATGTTCATTTCCAAGCAGGCCCTCTTCTGGCTTCTCTGGTCCCTCCTGGCTCCTCTCTGAGTGTCCGGCTAAAGAGCTGGGTCCCTGGAAGGTCCGAGGCTCTGGATAATTTGTGTCCTGCTGCTCAGTAGCTCTGTGACCCATGCAAGTGAATTAACCTGGCTGAGGCGAGCATTCCTGTGTATAAGGTCGGGGTCACAACGGGACAGTCCCCGAGAGCTGCCTGCTCCATAGGTGCAGCCTTCCTGCCCTGCCCTGCCCTGCCCTGCCCTGTCCCGACATCTGCTCTGGAGAGTTCTGTCCTGCTTGGCCTTGCAGAGACCCGGGGAGGCCCCAGGCTAGGCCGCCCACAGCCTCACCTCCCACTCACCAAGGGGCAGGGAAGAGGGAGGGTCCCCCACACCTGCCCAAGTTCACATCGCCTCTGCACCACTTGCCGAAATCCCCCTCTTCGGGCCCAGGGGAGCTGGAGGAGAGGAAGTGGCCACCTTAGACCCTGAATGGCCAATATTCCCTGCCCGCATCTATGTCCTCCGTGACCTTGGTCCTTGGTGTGTGTCCTTGTGACCATCTGTCCTGCGGGATGTGGGATTCTGGTAGTCAGCAAGCTAAGTAGGCAAAGGCTGGACTCCAGCGTGGCTGAGACCAGGCTGTGAAGCCTCACAGCGGTACTGGAGCAGGGAACAGGACTGTGGGCAGCCGGAGGGAGGCCTGACGTGCAGTGGCCCTTGGCCTGTGCCAGGACCTTTGGGCTCGACCTTGTAGGCTCCGGCTCTTTGAGCCCTGGAGAGAAGGATGGGGAGCCCCTGGGGAGACAATGAAGGGCTCAGGCTCTGTGTGCAGCCCCACCGACCCTGTGCCCACCTCACTGCCCGCTGCCCCAGGCGCTGCGGGTGAACAGCCTGGAACAGCTGTGCAACAACCTCGCCAGCGAGCGCCTGCGGCTCTTCTCCAGCCAGACACTGAAGGCCCAGGAGGAGGTAGGGACCTGGCCGTGGCCATGGCGGGGCCCTGGGAATTGCCCAGCAGAGGCCTCCTTGGTAGAGAGAGCAGTGCAGTAAGAGCTCAGCCTGAAAGCACCCTTTCCTCGGGGAGGTTCCTTCCTTCCAGGTCAAGGTTTACTGTCTATAAAGTGGAAGCTCAACCCTGCTCCAATTCAGTGAGCCCCTCGAGAACAGGAACTGTAAATGGCTGAATGCAGCCAGGTGTGGTGGTGCACAGCTGTACTCCGGGAGACTGAGACAGGAGGATTGCAAGTTCAAGCCCAGCCTGGGCAACTTAGTGACTGAGCAAGACCCTGTCTCAAAATAAAAAAATAAAAAAGGCCTGGGGGTGGAGCTCAGTGGTTCAGCCCCCAATACCAATGGGAAAAAACAATAAAGGTTAGAAGCGGGCTATTTCAGGAGGAGTGTCGGCGAGAGCTGCTGCCCTGGGCGCCCACGCCCCAGCCTCCTTTCGAGTCCTGCCTAGACCTCCTGGTGGACCAGCCCCGCAGCCTCCTGAGTATCCTGGATGCCCAGACATGGCTGTCTCAGGTGAGGGCGGGGCAGTGACCCGTGTCAGGGATAAGAAGTGAATGCCCAGAGCCAGCGGGGCCCCAGAGCTGGGGGACAGGAGGCTATGAGTGTGGGAGACCCGGCCACAGCCGCTTGGCACAGCCTGGGGAGGACACCAAGGGGAGCCCTGGCTCTCGCTTGTTTCTGGGTGAGCTTAACCAAGGTCCCTGGCCTCGGGGCTCAAGTCCAAAGAGCAGGGTGGTGGGCCGGGCCAGGGCTCACAAAGGACTTCTGCGGGTCCTCTCTGATGGTGGCCAGGTGTCCCTCAGGCCTCCCACTGTAAGGGACAAGCCTCAGGGCCACATGCATCCATTCCGCGAATACTTTGTGCCTGCTGTCTGCTAGCTCTATCTAAATATTCCTCCTTACCCTTTAGCCTCGCCCCACTTCGTATTTTAACACTCACATCCAAGAGTGATTATGGAGCACATTTATTCATTCGCTCGTTCCTCTGCACTGGACTACGTTCTGTGACGGCCCTGTGTGAGGGTCCAGTTCTACCCCTAGCACATGTTCAGGGGTCCCTAAAGAAGGAAGGACAAATTTGTGTGCCTGGGACCATGCTAAGGATAAAAAGCGATCATAGACCCAGTCTATCCCTTCTTGAAGCCCACAGTATAGAAGGAGTGAAATGTTAATGTTTAAAAATGCCAGGGTGTGGTGTGTGACTCTAATCCCAGGATCAGGAGGCTGAGGCAAGAGGATTTCAAGTTTGAGACCACCCTGGGCTAAATAATGAGATTCTCTTTCAGAGAGAGAAAGAGAGAGGACACCAGGTACAGTGTTACACACCTGTAATCCCAGCACTCAGGAGGCTCAGGCAGAGCACAGCCTGGGAAATTTAGGGACTAAGCAAGACCTTGTCTCAAAATAAAAAGTAAACAATAAGCTAGAGATGTAGCTCAATATAAAAGTCCTAGGTTCAGTCCCCAGTACAGGGGAGAAAAATCAGTTTTCAACACACATATTTGAGATCCCTTACTAGATATAACAAGTATCAATTTGTAAATAATTGTTTTTCCCAGTTCACATTCCAGAAAGTTTTATTAAAACTTGTCACTGGTGTCTTTGAGGTCCAGGGCTATTTTTGGAAACCTCTAGCAGGGTTTTCCAGGGCTTGGCACTGCCCCCATTGAGCAGGCTACTTGAAATGTAACACCATTTGGGTCAGAGGAGGTGCTGGCCCTAGAATTATCACCCCAAGCCACTGTTGTCACTTTGTAGCATTAGGGCATGTGGCCCCCAGCCCTTTGCTGCAATGTGTTGTTCATGAGCTCTGTGAAATGACCTCTACTGGGGTGACATTTTGAAAGTGACCTTTGGACCTAGAGATGTAGCTCTGTGGTAAAGCCCTTGCCCAGCATGTGTGAGACCGTGGGTTCCATGCCCAGCATAACGCGCCCCCCAAAAGAGAGAGAGATTTGAGAGTCTTGTAATTGTGGGACCATACTCCCAGGGGAGTGACATATACATCTATTCTAAAGCTCCCACTGCCATTCCCTTTAAATGGCTCTGTCCAGCCTCTTCTATAGCCACCAAATCTACTGTTGACTGAGGTGATTCTTGGCCCTAGACCAACATGTCTATCTCAGATGGTACTTGATTGTTCAAAATAAAGTCATTGAGAAAGAGGGCGTACCCTCTACAGGGACTCCGGCATAGAGTGACACATCCCTCCTGGGAGAGAAGCTGGGGGAACGGGACTGCACAGCCTTCTACTCAGGCTGCGTCCTGCTGGGTCCAGGACAATATGTACAAACCCTGAGGTTGCTTGACTCACCGCTTATCAGGCCACGGACCACACCTTCCTCCAGAAGTGTCACTATCACCATGGTGATCACCCAAGCTATGCCAAGCCCCAGCTGCCCCTGCCCATCTTCACTGTGCAACATTATGCTGGGACTGTCACCTACCAGGTATGGACCTCAGGGACAGACGCCAGGTGAATCAGTGAGGCAGTGTGACCTTGGTATCTCCTCCCAAACTGAGTCACTGAGCTTGGCCATGCGTCCCCGCCTAGACCAGGGGCCCCTCCCAGACCCCAGGGAGATTTAGTGATTCTGGGTGAGAATTACGAGGTGGGGGAGTCGAAGCCTGGGGACCTTCCAGATAGAAAGCAGAGCACAAGGCTGGGAAACCCCTCACTAACAGCTGGGTCTCAGAACTCCAGCTGTTTACTTTGCCTTCTGGGTCTCTTTCCTCATCTGTAAAATGGGCACAGAAATCTAGCCTACAGCATTGTCAGGAGCCTGAAATGCAGTAAGACCGAGAGGCCTGGCAAGTGCTCACTCCTCAGTGAGCATCCTTTCCCCCTTCTGAATTCCATGTCACCAGGACACCTGCTGAGGACAGGTGTCTGGCCCCAAGGAGGGACAGTGTGACTGGCAGGTTTGAGGTAGGGAGAGTGACACGGAGCAGATGGCACGCTCTGGTTATATGAGAAAAAACAAAAACTATCCAGGAGTTACCCAAACGAGAAATACTAGGAGTTGGAATGAAGAAAACTAGAGCTGGGGTTGTAGGTCACTGGGTTCTATCCCCAGCACTGAGAGAGACAGACAGACAGACACACAGAGACATATTTCAGTGGAAACAGTGTGGTCTGTTCTTGCGTAGTTAAGTTATTCTAGAAAAATAATACAGTCCCTGGTGGAATTCTTTTTTTTTTTTTTCACTTTTCTTTTTTTTTTGGTACCGGGGATCGAACTCGGGTCCTTGTGCTTGCGAAGCAGGCAGCAGAACCACTGAGCTAAATCCCTGGTCTCCCTGGTGGAATTCTTATAGGAGGGGAATGGGTTTTGGTAAAAATTATCATAACATGTGCATGGTGGCACAGACCTGTAATCAAAGCACTCTGGGAAGCTGAGGCAGGAGGAGGATCAAAAGTTCAAGCTCAATCTGAGCTTTTTTTTTTTTTTTTGAGACAAGGTCTCCCTATGCCGTTCAGGCCACCCTTGAACTCACTATGTAGCCCAAGCTGGCTTTGAACTTGTGATACTCCTTCCTCAGCCTCCCTAGTGCTAGGATCACAGGCGTGCAGCATCACTCCCAGCTTCAGCCTGAGCAATTTAGACCTTGTCTCAAAAAGTAAGAAAGGGGAGGTTGGGGATATAAGTAAAGTGTAAAAACCCTAGGTTCAATCCCCAGTAGTGCACACACTGTGTGAGAGAGAAAGAGAAATTCAAGCTTCATCTGGAGAAAGAATGCATGAGAGTCATCAATAGAATATTGAAGCAGGCCCAGGGATTTAGCTCAGTGGTTCTAGCACCTGCCTTGAGAGTGCAAGGTCCCAAGTTCGATCCCCGGTACCAAAAAAAAATTTATAAAATAAAATAAAATATTGAAGCAGAGGATGAAGGAGGGATTTGCTGTGCCAGATAGGAAAATGTATTCTGAAGCCAAGGCCTAAATGCAGATGGCATGGATAAGCAGTGGACCCATTGGTGGATGGAATAGAAAGTCCAGCCGCTGCGCCAGGGTATATGAGAGTACTGGCTTCATGACAAGGCAGTCTCGGGAAGCAAGTAGGAGAGGCTGCGCTCTCCCAAGAAGGAGTCGGCCACGTTGGCCTTCTCTCTGACTCCCCGTCCATCTCTGGCAGGTTCACAAGTTCTTAACCAGAAACCGAGACCACCTTGACCCCGCCGTGGTGGAGATGCTTGCCCAGAGCCAGCTGCAGGTGCCCCTGGCAGCCCTCCCATTCTGCCTTCTCCCCATAGTCTCTTGCCCAAGGGACAGCCCTGAACCCCCGGCGCCCTGGGGTCCTGGTTCCCCGGCCTGTGGGAAGGGTGGACAGGCCCAGGGCAGCCCCTCAGCCTCATCTTGCCCACAGCTGGTGAGAAGCCTGTTCCAGAAAGCAGAGCCCCATCGAGGGAAATCCACACTGGCCTGCCGCTTCCTGCAGTCCCTGGGGGAACTTCTAGAACAGCTGGGCCGGTAAGAACAGCGACCCCCAACTAGAGACCCCAGGGAGCTGGATGGGGGAGCTGGGCTGTGTCCAGTGAGCCCCCTTTACTCTGCAGGAGTCACATTTATTTCATCCAGTGCCTCAACCCCAATCCTGGAAAGGTGAGGACCCCCCACCCCAGGTCCCAGGCCTCCCCACTCCCCTGGCTCCTCCCCTCATGCCTTGGCTGTAAGCCCATGACTGCTCCTTCATCAGTTCTCTCTCTGGCCATAGATCCCAGGCCTCTTTGATGTGGGACATGTAGCAGAACAGCTGCACCAGGCTGGGATCCTGGAGGCCATCAGCATCCGCAGTGCCCACTTCCCCATGCGCGTCCCCTTCCAGGCCTTCCTGGCCAGGTAGAGCCCTGGGGCGGAGCAGCCAAAGGTCCAGTGCCTCTCGGCAGGACAGACGGAGAGGGCTCCTTCCTGGTGGAGAGGGACCCTTCCCTTTTGCCCGGACTCTGGGCCTGGCTTCCAAGCCTCCCCCTCTCTCCTTCCTCTTTCCGAGTCACCCTCCTTTCATTATTTACCGTCCCTCCTGCCTTCACCTGCCCCTCCTCCACCCAGCAAGACTCTGCAGTGCTAAAGCCCAGTTAGAGGAAGGGGGGACAGTGCCTGCCCTGGGGGTCCCAGTGTGGTGAGGGGGTGAGTTAGTGAGTTGGGGATGGTGGGCCAGGAGCAGAGCCCCTCGGATGGCAGGAGGGGTGACCAAGCACAGCAGTGGGGAATGGGGCACAGTGAGAATGAGGGGCTCTGTGTGGGGATTTTGGAACCCCCCGGGAAAGCTGGTGGCCTTGTTGTGTTGTTGTTTGCGCATTTGGCTTCCCACTGGCTAGCAGCCTCTCAGAACCCCCTGGAGGGATGCCTCACCCCAGGCTCTGCTGGCCCTGTTTGGCATGATGGCCTTGGTAGTGGGGACACCCTGGCCGTGGGGCTGAGATTGAAGCAGGCAGCAGGTGTGTGTGCCCTTGTCCTTGAGCCTGCCTCTTCCCAGGCCAGGCCAGGAAGGTTCTGTCCCTGCCCTCTGGACACTCACCAGCTGCAGCAGTTGCCACCTCCCAGGAACCCTGAGCCCTGAGGCTGGGTAGGGGGAGCTTGGGGTGCTGTTGTCCCCCTAGCACTGACCAAGTCTGTTTAATGGTCTGCTGCCCTGTGCCCCCTCCCCTGCCTGCCTCCCTTCCACCACACCTGAGACTCACTGTGCTGGGCTGTGCAGGGTATCCAGGGCAGACAGAAGCTGCAGGACCACACTCCCACTGCTCCTACCATCCAGAACCAGCTGCATGGCCCCCTGCACACACACAGTCCTTCGAGCCCATCTCCTCTCCCAAGTGGAGGCCCCACCTCCCCAGTGCATGGCTGTAACCGGGCTCCCAAATTGTGGAATGACCACCAAACTGGATAACTAGAGAGGGGCTCGGGGTGTCGATCAAGCATGAAAGGAGCCCTTGCTTTTGTGACCTCAGCTGTGTGTCCTTGGGACAGGTTCCAGGCTCTGGGGACAGAAGGACAAGGCAGCTTCTCTGACCGGGAGAGGTGCGGTGCCATCCTCAGCTGTGCGCTGGGGGCTGAGTCTCCACTTTGTCACCTTGGAGCCACCCAGGTGGGTTCCAGGGTCTGTGTGTGCAAGCAGTCAGGCATGGGTGGAAGGGAGAGGCACCTTCAGGCACAAACCAGGGACAAACTGCGTTGGGTGGTCCTGCAAGTGGTGGCACAATGGCGCGGGGCTGGGCAGCGGGCTGTCTGGGACAATCTGGGGTACACAGTTTGGCAGAAAGGCAGGAGGCTGAGGCCAGGGAAGAGCAGGCACATCCTGGCCCCTGCGCCTGTCCCACCTGCAGCCACACCTCTGCCCACAGGTCCTGCTGCAGGAGCAGGGCTGGCAGCAGCTGGAGCGACTCTGGGCCCAACGGCGCTCCCAGGCCTTGCTCACCCTGCGTCGTGGCCTCCGCGGCTGCATCTCCTCCCACCAGCGCCTCCGCCTCCTGCCCAGGCTGCAGGCCCGAGTGCGTGGGCTCCAGGCCAGGTGGGCGGGTGGAGCGGAGGGCTGAGGTGGGTAAGATGAGGCCATGGACTCCTCCAGGTGATGAGGCAGAGTTCAGGAGACATCGACCCTCAAGAAGCGTCTCCCTGTCCCAGTGCCGTCTCATCAACTCTGGCCTCTCCTTGATAGCATTGCAACTCCTGCTCATGCAGCCTCTGCATGAATATCCCCAGGCATGAGAACCTGACTGTCTGATGAGTCTGCCTGAACCTGCGGTTCTCACTCCTCCATTTTCTTTTCTAATGTTTTCTTCACCTTGAAGCAAGAACAATCATTTAGCCCCGAGTGGTGTCACACACCTGTATTCCCAGGACTCAGGAGGCAAAGGCAGGAGGATCTCCACAAGTTCAAGGCCAGGCTGAACTACAATAGGGAGATCCTCTCTCAAAAAACAAAACAAAACAACAAAAAAAACAAAAAGAATGATCATTTAAAAAAATGAATCAGGTTGTGTAAGGTCCTGCCTACCTCTCCAGCCTGTGTTTAAGTCAGACTTTTACACTCCAGCCACGTGGACTTCTTGGTCTTATAATGTGACCCTTCCCGATGAACTCCTGATCAGTGCATTAACTCCTTCTGACCCTTCCCAGCCTGTCTTCGTTCATCCAAGCAGCTGCTGCCAGATGCTGACCATCTGTGCCCCCCTGGCAGATGCTGGTGGTGCAGGGATGAAGTCAGCAGGGATAGTCCATTCCGGGCTAGTGGGGGAGTCCGATTCAGACAGCAGACCAGCCACTGATTGTGGCAAGGGTAACACAGGGCCAAGAATCAAGTAAAGACTGGGACCCTAGGAGAGGGGGGCAGCCATCACCACTGTCTGGATCCAAAACTTTCCACCACGTAAACAGATATTTGTAGCATTAAGTCATAACTCCCTAGCTTCCACCCCAGCTCCTGGCAACTTTCAGTCTACTTTCTGTGTCTATGAATTTGCCTTTTCTAGATATTTCTTGGAAGCTATCTTACACAATATTTCCTTTTATGTCTGGCTTATTTTACGTAGCGTAATGGTTTTGTCTTGGTTTGCTTTGGTTTTATGGTACTGGGGATTAAACTCAGGGTCTTTACACTGAACTACACACCAGCCCTTTTTTACTTTTTATTTTGAGACAGGATCTTGTAAAATTGCTAAATTGCCCTGGGTGGGTCCAAACTTTCGATCTTCCTGCCTCAGTCTCCCGGAGTGCTGGGATCACAGGTGTGCACCACTACGCCCAGCTTAGCACAATGTTTTCAAATTTCATCTATGTTACAGCATGTATCAGGACTTCATTTTTTTTTATGGCTGAGTAATTCTCCTTTGGTGGATTAACTACACATTATTTATATCTGTTTATCTTTTGGTTATTTGAATTGTTTCCATTATTTATGAATAATGCTGCTATGGATATGGCTGTACAAGTATCTTCTAGTCTGTGCTTTCAAGTTTCTTAGGTCTGTAATCATTTGTTCTATGTTGAACTTTTTGAGGAGCTGCCCAGCTGTCTCCCACATCACTTTTTGTGGTTGTTGTTGTTTGGTACCAGGCATCAAACTTGGGACCCTGCACTTGCGAGGCAGGTTTGGTGCCACTGAGCTAAATCCCCTCCCCACCCCCGAATCACTTTTTATTCCTACTGGCCATCTACCAGGGTCCCAGCTTCTCTGCATCCTTGCTGATGACTTGTTATCTTCTGTGTTTTTAGTTATTGCCATCCTTGTGAGTATGAAGGAGGATCTCATGGTTTTGCTTTGCATTTCTCTATTGCCCAGGGATGTTGGATATATTTTCATGTGCCTCTTAGCCATTAGCATATCTTCTAAGAGAAAAACGCCTCAAGTCCTCTGACTGGTTTTTTAAATTGGATTGTCTCTTTTTTGTTGGGCTGTAGGAAGCTCTTATATTTTCTGGATATTAAGCCACTATCAAATATGTGCTTTGCAAATATTTCCTATTCTGTGGATTGTCTTGTGTGTGTGTGTGTGTGTGTGTGTGTGTGTGTGTGTTGGTTCTAGGGGTAGAATCCACGACCTCACAAATGCTAGGCAACACCCCCAGCCCTATTTTTTTTTTTTTTTTTGGTACCGGGGATCGAACTCGGGTCCTTGCGCTTGCGCAGCAAGCACTGAAACCACTGAGCTAAATCCCCGGCCCTCAGAGTCAATTTTTACATGAATGTCCAGGCGCAGAGGATTCAGGTACCAGGCAGGAGACGTTAGTTTGAACCCTCATCCCTTCATTACCCCCCACGGCCTCCAGGAAGCGATACCTGCGGCGACGGGCAGCTCTGGCACAGCTGAACACCGCACTCCTGCTGGCCCGGCCCTTGCTCCAGAGGCGGCAGAGGCTGAAGGTGACAGGGTTTGGGGAGGCTGCTGGACTGGTGAGGCTTGGGTGGAACCCAGGCAATCTTGTCTGGAAAGTCGCTGAGCCCCGACGTGCTCAGCCTCTTAGCCCAGCCTCCCAGGGCCCAGGGCTCAGAGACCATTGCTCCCTGCACTCTTCCATCTGGCCAGGGCAGCCAGGGGCCCTAGGCGGCCACTGCTCCCTTCCCACACCCCCTTCTTCCCTGGGGTTCCTTCCATCCCCTCCAGCCCTCTGTGGGCCCCTACTCTTCCCCCTCTTGCCCAATGACTCCAACTTGAGGGCCATAAAGCTGCTCAAAGGTCAGTACCCACATGCTGCCCCCTCCCTGGCCTCTCCCTGGCTGGACTTTGTCCCCTGGGACCATTTCTTCCCTTCTTCCTGCCCTCTTCCCGGTACCCTGGCAGACGGGCAGTGACGTCCACAGCAGAGGCTGGTGAGAGTTCAGAAGGCTGGGGGGAACCAGGGGTGGACTGCGCAACAGGCAGCTGCCCCTCTGGGTCTATTGTTCCTTTGTGGGTGCCAGGGCCTCCCAGGGACCCTAGGGAATAGCTGACCTGCAGAGCTGGGAGCAGCTGCCGGGAGGCCCTAGGTGGGTCTTGACGGGGGGCGCTGGCTCCTCCTGCATCTCCCCACAGCCTGGGTATTGGAGTGGCCAGCACAGCGGCGGGGCCTCAGGGAGCATGCCAAGCATGGTAAGTGGCCTGCAAGTGGGAGGGGCTTCGACATGGGCTCTGAACCCCGCACACCTGGCACAGCTTGGGGGAAGGTGGGAGCTAAGGGTGTTGCCAGGGGTCTTGTCCCTCATGTGCCCCCTGAGGGCAGGACAAGGTGCCCATGGCTCTGCAGTGCCCTTTTATCCCTAGGAGGGTTCTTGGGGCGCTGCTCGTTTAAATAGTCAGGCCCAGAGTCCTCGGTCTTCGGAGAGGATATTTATATCAACCAGGGAGTGAGGGAGAAGAGCGGGTCCCTCTCTCAACTCCTGGGAACTTGGTCCCGTCCACTAGGAGCTGGAACACTTGGAGATCCCAGCTGAGCTGGCAGCCTTGCTGAGGACGGCAGGAGGTGAGTCTCGCTGCCTCTCCTGCCAGCTCCTGCGGGCTCCCTGCAGATGGGGGCTGGTAGCCGACGAGAACAGTAGGGTTGGTGCCATTTCAGACATAACACACAGTGTCTCCTTTCCAGGCCACCAGGATGCCCTGGCTGGAATCATCACCGAGACTATGCCCCCTGAGGTTCCTGCCTGGCCCAGCCTGACCCTCCCACTGGACATAGACCTCTTCCCCTTCTCCAGCTTCATCTCCACCAGCTTTCAGGTGGGCCCCAGGCCTGTGCGCTTCCTGCCGGCCCAGCATTCCCTAGCGTTAGCACCTGCCAGGCAGAAAGAAGCTTGGCCTCTCCCTTTCTCCATCTTCTGCAGCTGTCAGGGCTGTGGATATAGCCAATCTGCTCTGAAAATATCCATTAAACTGAAATAGCTCATTGTGGACATTATTTCAGTCCGTGAGGCCACGCCTTTGTATACCTGTGGTATTGTCCTGCCCTTGAAGTCATCTCGTTAAAGAATGTTTGACACGGAAACTGTCCAGACTACAGTATGAAATACAAAAGCAGGATTCAAAACTGCACATATAGTACAATCCCAGTTTTCTTTAAAAACAACAAGGGAGGCCAGGGATTTAGCTCAGTGGTTTCGCCACCTGCTGCGCAAGCACAAGGACCTGAGTTCGATCCCGGTACCAAAACAACAACAACAACAACAACAACAAACAAACAAGAAAGAAAGGCTAAAATGTTAACTACTTATCTCTGGCTGTGGAATGTTAATGGTAGTTCTAATTTTTAATCTTCTGCTTTCTGCATGTATGGTTAACAATCTCCTAATCAGAGAACTACTATGATGCATTTCTGAGCTGAGTGTGGTGCACATGCCTGTAATCTCAGCACTCAGGAGGCTGAGACAGGAGGATTGCCACAAGTTTGAGACCTGGGCTACTTAGTGAGTTCAAGGCCAGCTTGAACTACATACCAAGACCTTGTCTCAAAAAACCAAAACCAAAAGAGACAAGCAGAAAGATGCATTTCTAAGAGGGTTTTATGCCCCAGCCCTCCCCTTCTCCCAGGATGCATGCTCCGTGGGGGGTCCCCCGGGGGCTACCCTTCCCCGTTCAGCACAGAGAACAAGCTCTGTATCACCCTTCTCTGCAGGAGCCCTCCCTGCCTAGCCCAGGGCAACCTCTGGCCAGGCCACTGACTCGGCTGGAGGGAGAGAACCCCCAGCATGCCCTGGACATCAACAGGGTGGTGAGTAACACATCCTGGAGGGGACAGGGGGCCTTACAGGGGCCGGACCGGCACAGGAGAGTCCTGCACTTCCTCCCCTGCCCTGGCTTTGTGTCACAGATGCTGCGGCTGCTGGGAGACGCATCCCTGCAGTCCTGGCAGGAGCAGATTATGGGCACTTACCTGGTGCGGCTGGGGCAGCACCGGCCAGGGCTTCGGGACGAGCTCTTCAGCCAACTTGTGGCTCAGCTGTGGCACAACCCAGATGAGCAGCAGGGCCAGCGAGGCTGGGCCCTCATGGCTGTCCTGCTCAGCGCCTTCCCCCCAATGCCCGCCCTGCAGAAGCCACTGCTCAAGTAATGGAACCAGCCGGAGGGGACCTGGTGGGTGGGGTTCATGCAGTGCCCTACCTCACAGTGGCTCTGTGCTGTCCCCACAGATTCGTGTCTGACCAGGCCCCCCAGGGCATGGCAGCGCTGTGCCAACACAAGCTGCTGGAGGCCCTGGAGCAGACCCCACTGGCCCCAGGGTTTGCCCGGGCCCACCCCCCGACCCAGCTTGAGTGGAAGGCCGGATGGCGGCAGGGCCGCATGGCACTAGATGTCTACACCTTCAACGGTGATGCCCACCTCCCCCAAAAGCCTCCCAGGCCCACAGCGGAGCCAGGCTTGCCCCTACCCTCCCTGGCTCCTTCCTGCCTCTGCCTTCCTGCTGCCCCCTTCTGTGACTCTGTTCTCCTTTCTGTCCTGTGTCTGGGACCCCCAGGGACAGCTGCCCCTTGCTGTCAGGTGCATCCTGCTGCCCCTTACCCTGCCCCACTCCCTCCCCTCAGAGGAGTGCTACTCAGCAGAGGTGGAGTCCTGGACCACGGGGGAGCAACTTGCTGGGTGGATCCTACAGAGCAGGTACGGAAAGTCTGGGATAGGACAGTGCAGCCAGAGCCTACTGTCCTCCCACACACCTCCCGGAGTCCAGGGACAGAGGCTGCTCTACAAGGGCCAGCAGGTGTTTTCAGGTAAGTGGGTGGATTCCAAATGGAGAGCAAAGAGCAGTCTAAACAAGGGGCCGAGTGAGCCCGGTCCAGATTCTAACAAGGAGAGTGGTAGAGCTGTAGGGTAACCAGGGAGGTCTTGAGGCACTGGCTGAGTGGCCCCAGCACCTCACAGACTGTGCCAGGGCTGCAGGGGCCTCTAGGGCTCCCTTCCCAGGTCCCTCTCCTTGGCTCGGTGTCCATTCCTTGTCCCGGCAGGATGGTCCTCTGCCTCACTGACCACCCTTCCGCTGCACCTTCTTGTCCCATCCAGAGGCCTGGAGGTGCCCTGCCGTGGCTGGTCCGTGTCACTGCACTCTGGTGATGCATGGCGAGACTTGGCAGGTTGCGACTTTGTGCTGGACCTGATCGGCCAGTCCGAGGATCTGGGGGACCCAACTGTTCCACGCAGCTACCCCATTAGCCCCCTTGGCTTGTAGGTGCCACCCAGTACCCCTGTCCCCCACTTGCCCCTGCCCAGGCTCACCCCTGTGGTGTATAGATGCTACTGCAGCGCCCCCCCAGCCTCCTCCCACCTCGTCCCCATGGCAGCCTCTGCATTTTATGCCTGCCTGGGCTTCCCTCGCAGACTCAGCAGCCCCCTTAGCCAGACCTACTCTCTCCTCCAGACCCGAGGACATCCCGCCTGCCCCTGGTGTGCAGGCCCCCTCTCTGCCCCCAGGCTTTCTTCCAGGTCCAGCCCCAGCATTGTCCAACAGAGGCCACACAGGTAAGGCACACTGAGGCGGGCAGAGTGACAGGATGGGTGTATGGGCAGCCCTACCTCCAGCTGGATCCACCAACCTGTCCCTGCCCCACAGGGGAGGCCCAGACATCAGGGAGCCTGAATGGCTTCCTGGACCACCTCTTTGAGCCTGTGCTTGCCACAGGCTTCAGTGTAAGTGTTCCCCATACACCCCCAGCCTACCCTGCCCCCTTGGGCCTCTGCTGCCCCTTCTGACTTTCCCAAGCTCTGGCTCTCACAGTGTGACCATGTCCCTTCAGGATCTGGAACAAGGCTGGGCATTGAGCAACCGCATGAAGGGAGGGGGCTCCATTGGGCCTGGGCAGCAGAGCTACCCCATGGGTGAGTGTGGGGCTGATTCTGGTCCAGGGCCCTCCAGGCCCAGCAGCAGAGGTGAGCATGATCTGGGATCCCTCGGGCAGCTGAGATGGGATGGGAACTCCAGCCAGCACCCTGGGGCCAGTGCTCTTGCCTTTGCTTGGGCTGGAGGGAGGTGGCCTGGGAAGAGACTCACCTGTCCCCTTAGTGTACCCAGGGATGATGCAGATGCCTGGATACCAGCCAGCCATGATCCCTGCACCCATGCCCATGATGCCAGCAATGGCCACAGTCCCTCCTGCCATGCCAGGTAGGGCTGAATTGAAGTCACCAGGGTCCCTTCTCAGGAGAGCAGCTGCCAGCCCTGAGACTAGGAGGGCCCTAGCAGGAGTCCACAGGCACAGGGCACTGAGGGCCTCGAGTGTGACCATGGTGCTCATCTGCTCCGGCCCACCTGCTGCCCTCACAGCCATGATGGTGCCACCACAGCCACAGCCCCTGCTTCCCAGCCTGGACACGAGGGAGCTGGCGGTCCAGCAGCAGAACTTCATCAACCAGCAGGCGCTGCTCCTGGTAAGGGTGGCAGGGCCCGGGGCTGCTGGGGAGGGCAAGGCCGTGGCACAGGGCCAGCCAGCCCTCTAATGTGGCCCACTACCCATCCCCCTTAGGCCCAGCAGATGACCAATCAGGCCATGAGCCTGTCCCTAGAGCAGCAGACACGCCAACGCCAGCGCCAAGCCCTGGCCTCTACAGCTGCCTCCTCAGCACCACCTGCTGCCTCCCCAGCGCCACCTGCTGCCTCCCCAGCGCCACCTGCTGCCTCCCCAGCTGTCACACCCAAGCCCAAGAAGTCCCCTGTCCCCCAGGAGGACCCAGAGCATGACTTGGAATCAGCGGGTGCCTGCTCAAGGGTAGAGCCGATGCCACATGGATGGTGGGACTTGGGGTGGGGACAGTAGGTGCCAGGGCTACAGGGATGAGACATGAGCAGGAATATTTGGAGCAGGGGTGGGAGGGGGATGCTGGGAGTGTGGTAATGTGGCGGGCTGGGCTGCTCTTCACTTCCCCCTTCTACCAGGAGACCTCGGAGGGGGCTGAAGACAGGACCTGGCACCCCAAGAGCTTCCAGCAGAAAAGGGACTACTTCCAGAAGATGGGTGAGGGTACTCAGGGTGGCCTGGCCAGGGAAGGCTGGGTATCACTGTGGCCCATCTGGGAGCCCAGACAGGCAGGCCAGAGGAGCTGCTGGGCAGATGCGGGTGACAGAAGACCATCTGGGGCATTTACAGGGCAGCAGCAGATCAAGGTGAAGATGGTGAAGCCTCCAGCCAAGATCCAGATCCCCTGGGGGGAGGAGATGGAGAAGGAAGAGGAAACCAGAGAAGGTAGGGCCGATGGGCAGGGGCCGACGGGCTCTTGAGCTTCTACAGTGTTTAATCATCTGTTCGTGTTCTTCCCCTCAGTGCTGTCCCCTCCTCCACCCCCAGCTCTGAAGAAGCCACTGAAACAAAGTGGAACCAAAGCTGCAAAAGAGGCTGCCGCAGAGGCAGCCGCGGAGGCCAGGCCAGCCCCAGGCCAGGGGCCCGCGGTGAGCATCTCAGGCCCCACGTCCCCTCGGGCAGAGCCCAGCAGGGAGATTGGAAACATCATCCGCATGTACCAGAGCCGCCCAGGGCCTGTGCCTTCGCCTGTGCAGCCCATCAGGTGGGCCCCAGGGGGAGGTGACCAGGGCCTTTCTTTAGTCCCCAGGGAATCCCCCTGTGGCCCTCGTGACCCCTTCTTTCTCTCACAAGGCCTCACAAAAGTTTTCTTAAGAAAAACGACCCTAAGGACGAGGCTCTGGCCAAGCTGGGAATCAGTGGCACCTCCCCACCCCCGCCGGTGAGCCCTTCCCCGTCCCCTCCAGGGGGTAGGCTCTGAGTCCAGGGCTTTCGGGGTGAGCTTGGCCTTGCTCGCGTGTCTTCTGTGTCCCCCCAGACACTGGGCCTCAGCATGGGGAAGGACCCTCCACCGGCTGTGGCTCCTCGACCCAGGTCCAGGCCACGACCTGAGCCCTCCGTCTCCATCAGGGAAAAGCAGGTGCCCCTCCGGGACCTGTTTGGCCCAACCCCACCCACTACCCCGGCACCCCCACCCCCACCAGCACCACCACTGCCTCTGCCCGAGGAACCCCGGAGCCCTTCGGCGGAGCCCCCTGGTGAGGAACCACATGTCTCCTGCGCAACAGGCTTGGCTAGGGCGGGGGAGGGACTCCCCATAGCCTCTTGGGACTCATGACCCCAGTCATCTCCACATGGCTGAAGTCAGCTGCTTGCACTTCCGGACTTCAGAGCCCTGAAGCTCCAGCTTCCGTGTTCCTGCCCAGGGCAGGGCCTGGGCACCCTGCAGCCTGCCTGGCACTGAGGGACTGTCACAAACTGGGTGTTGCCCTCAAAGCACACCTGACAACCTCATAGGGAATTTAGTGGCCCTGACTGGTGGGGTCAGGGACACCAGGGAAAGTTTAGGACCAGAAATGGAGACAGGTGATGCTGAGGGCGGGAGTGAAACAGCTGGAGGCCTGGAAAACCAGACAAGGATGGAGGTCTTTCTCATCTGGGCCCCATCCTTCCCGCTGTGCCATTCCCTATCCTGAGGCTCTGTCCCCTTCCCCTGCCAGCTTTGGTGGAGCCCATGGAGGACCAGGGGGTCTCCACACAGCTACTCCTGCCCTCTGGCAGTGTGTGCTTCTCCTACACCAATGTACCCTGGAAGTTGTTCCTGCGAAAGGAGGTGGGCGTGAGGGTGGGGCCTCAGGCTCTTCATGCGGGCAGGGAGGTGGCTGGCTGCAGGGATCTCAAACTGGGACCCCAGGATGCCCCCTCATGACCCATCTTTCCAAGGCTCATTTCTGGGTCTGGGAGGGCGGAAGTGGCCAGGTAAGACACCGCCCCTGCCAGACCCAGCTTTCCCATGCCTCCTCCAGGTGTTCTACCCCCGGGAGAACTTCAGCCATCCCTATTGCCTCCAGCTTCTCTGTGAACAGGTGAGAGCCGGGCCCACCTGCCAACCTGCCACATCTGTACCCTGGGGCCCCACAGCCTAACACCTGGGCCAGGGTAACACCTGTGTGAGGGCATGATCGAAGCCAGCACTTCCAGGGCACTCTGCACCAAGCCCTGCCTCCTAGTGTCCCTAGGATGCAGGGACCCTGATTAACTTCGTTTTACAGAGTGCATATGGTACACAGCCCAGGCACACAGTAGGGACTTCACAAATGGTTCCCTGCCACCTCTGGATGCTCCCAGGACTCTGTCTCTGCTCCTCTGAATTCTACAATGACCCCTCACCCTCCCCACCACTTTCTGCTTCTTCAGGGCAGCTGTCTCAGCTGACCCAACAGTAGTGGGGAGAAGGGAAGGAGAGCAGGAGCCATGCGGGAGGGCAGGGGAGCCATCATGGGCCGGCCTGGGAGCCCTCTCTGCCTGCTCCAGCTGTGCCTCCCAGGGCGAAGGCGCCCTCTACTGGGCCCTCCAGCCTCTCCTCTATGCAGCTCTGTGCTGGGCTCTAGCCTCAGGACCCGATAGTGATCACCATGTTCTGTCTGCAGATCCTACGGGATGCCTTTGCTGAGTCCTGCATCCGGATCTCCCAGGATGAGCGGCACAAAATGAAAGGCCTTCTGGGTATGGGTCCAAGGACCCTGGAGTCCGGGAGCGGGAGTGCTGGGCCTGCCCTGAGGGAGGAACTGGCCACAGGAGCACTCTACGAGCAGGGGAGGCCTAAGGACAGTCTGGGCCCCTCCTGCCTGCAGGAGACCTTGGGGTGGGCCTGGACTCACTCACCACCACTGAAGATAACATCAAGAAGCGCATCGTGGTGGCCGCTCGGAACAACTGGGCCAATTATTTCTCCCGCATCTTCCCCGTTTCGGTCAGTGATGCTGGGGTAGGGTGTGGGGTGTCGAGCCTTGAGTCTGGACCCCAGCGCACAGGCGTGGGCTGTCAGCAGGCAGATGAGAGCCAGGGCAGCAGAAGACAAGACAGCCACTGGCCCTTTGCAGCTCCTAGCATCTTGGTGGTGCCAGGACCCTGGAGCCTGGCCCTGACCCACCCACCTTCCTGGCAGGGTGAGAGTGGTAGTGATGTGCAGCTATTGGGCGTGTCTCATCGGGGGCTAAGACTGCTCAATGTTACCCAAGGGCCCAGCTTCCACCTGGACCAGGTGAAGACGCTCTGCTCCTACAGGTGAGCTGACCCAGAGCCCGGGCTGAGGGCAGAGCGGCAGGATGGCCCCTGGCTCACACCTCACCCTGTGCACAGCTTTGCCGATGTGCTGGATGTGGAGTGCCGGGGAGGCTTCACCCTGGAGCTGTCGCTGAAGAGTGAGCAGCTGGTGCTGTACACGGCCCAAGCGAGGGCCATCAAGGCCATGGTGAAGCAGTTTCTCAGTGAGCTCAGGAAGGCAAGTGCAGGCCAGGTGGGGTCAGGGGGGACAGTGGGCAGCCTCTTCCAGCTGTAGCTCTCCCTGCCTGGGTCCCCTGGGTGGATCTGGGAGTTTAGGCAGGGTCCCTGAAGCTCCAGTTGTAGGGGGAGGCTAACCGTGGGCCGGTAGTTGCTCCCAGGCTGCTCACCCTCCTGCCCGCAGGACTCTGGCTATGTTATCGCCCTTCGAAGCTACATCACCGATGACCACAGCCTCCTCAGCTTTCATTGTGGGGAACTAATCAAGCTGTTGCCAGTGGCTGCCCTAGAGCCAGGTATCCCCAGGGCCAGCTGAAGGGCCTGGCCCAGGGAGGGCACCCTACTGACAGAGCCTGGTGAGGGGCGGAGGGGCCAGGTGGGTGAGCCACTGTCTTGGGATACCTTCTAGGCTGGCAGTTTGGCTCTGCTGGGGGCCGATCCGGACTCTTTCCTGCTGACCTGGTACAGCCAGCTGCCGCTCCTGATTACTCCTTCTCATCAGAGCAGAAGAGCAGCTGGCAGCGCAAGAGTCAGCCACAGCTTACAGAGCCAGGACCAGCTCAGCGGGACAGGGCCTTGGAGGTAAGGAAGATAGGGGAGGCAGAGGCATAACTAGAAGTTGAAGGAGAGTGTGATTGTCCCGAGGCCTCCTGTGGCCTGATGGACAGTGCCTGGTGTGTTGCTGTCCTTCCTGCCTGCTCTGATTTCTTGCCTTGTCTCACCAGCAATACTGTAGGCCCCTGTGGAGCGGGGCTGGGCCCTATGCCCCTCTGCTCCCATAGCGTACTTAGGTCTGTGCTGCCAATAAAGTCTTGATTTTCCTGATTTTGGTCGTATTCCTTCTCCGGTCTGGCAGGGATGGGAATGGCGCTGGGGGGCAGGGCCTCAGGGACAGGCTGTGGGCACTCCAGCGGGACTACATTTCCTGTGCTCCCAGAGCCCCGCCCACCCCCAGAGCCAGGCTCACAGTGACGACTCAGAAGCCACCAGCCTGCAGTCCTCCACGGTCTACACCTCTCTGTCCACTGATTCCCACAACTATACCATGCAGGAATTTGCACTACACTACTTCCGGAAGCCTCTCACCTTGTGAGTGCCCTGAGCCAACCCCTGTGCCTGCCTGTCCTCAGCCCTCCCAACACAAGCCCCCTGGCCAGTACTGTCACCATCCCCTCCATAGGGAACAAGGGCGGGAGGCCTGAGTGAGCAGGGCTGTCCCCTCTGACCCCACAGGCTGGACCTGACAGGAGGAGGCACCAGGGCGAAGGCTATGGCCAGCCTAGTGCAGTGGAGCAAGGTAAGGGGCAGGGGTGGGAGAGTCTGGCCCATGGATCTGTCCTCTGACTCCCGTGACCCCAGACCCACAGCCCAGCCTCTTTGGCCACAGGCTCCCATCCAGGAATCACTCATCCGCCTCAGTGATGAGAACATGAGCAAGAGGGCTGTGGTGGGCTTTGAGGGTGAGTAGCACAGGCATCCTCGGTCCCTGCACCGGAGAGCCTTGGACCTAGGCCCCTGGTCCCCTCCTCTCCTTGAGCTCTGTCTGGCTCTGCATCAGCCTGCAACGCAAGGAAGCTTGTTGGAGGCTCCTGGACACCCGCCCCCCCAGTCCTCCCCTACCTGTGTTCCCACCCATGGGCTGAGTTGTATGGAGACGGGCTGAAAGACAATGACTGGGTGTAGCAGAGACTGTCTGTGCATGGACTCGACACCAACAAAATATTCCTGAGCCTGTTTCATTCTCAGTAAAGCTGAAGTCAGCTGCCTAGCCTGGTGCATGTGCCTTTGGAGAGTAAGACATCAGACAGTAGGTGAAGGGCTATACAGCAAAAGTGTGTGCCAGGCCAGGCCCCGGCCCAGCTCACCACGCTCTTTATCCTGCCTGCAGCTCTAATGCAGTTTATGGGGGACCAGTCTAAGCCCCGTGGCAAGGATGAGATGGACCTGCTGTATGAGCTGCTGAAGGTAAGCAAGGGCAGATGTGCTGCAAGCTGGTGCAGGGAGCCCGGAGTGCCATTTCCTCCTGCCCTGTCTGGACCTGAATGGGAGCCCCCTTCCCTTGGTCCCTTGGGCACTATTTTTTGTTTTGTTCTGTTTTTGTTTATGGTTTTTGCTTTTTATTTTGAGACAAGGTCTTGCTTTGTAGTTCAGGCTGCCCTTGAACTCAAGGTAATCTGCCTCAGCCTCCCAAATGCTGGGATTATAGGTATGCGCCACCACACTCGGCAGTTTCTATTCCTTTTAATCATTCTGAGTATATATTGAGCACTTACTACACACTGGGGATGTGGCTGTGGAGCCAGTAGGCTAAATCCCTGCAATGTACACAATCTCACAGGAGGAGACAATAAACAAGGACACGACGTGTCTGGGAGTGAAGACACTAAGGCAGGGGAGGGAAACGCTTCCTGGAGAAGGCTCTGTGACAGATTTGAAAAGCAGTGAGCCACATGTACCTGGTGACAGGGCCTTGGACAAGGGAAGGGTAGAGGGGACAGTGTGAGAGTGAGCTGCAGCACCAGCAAGTCCAGCTTGGAGGACAAGGGCACTGAGGGGACAGTGGTCCAGCTCACAGCAGGCCTTGTGGACCAAATAGAAGAACTTCAATTTTTCACTATCAAAGAGGGGTTGTGAAGAAAGACTTGGTCTATATCTCCCAGTCACTCTGGATGTTATGTGAGATTCTAGGGGGTTGAACGGCAAATGTGGGGCTGGGGATTTAGCTCAGCGGTGCCGGCACCTGCCTCGCAAGCACAAGGTCTTGAGTTCAATCCTCAGTACCCCCCAAAAAAGGTAAATGTAACGCCTGTAATTCCAGCAGTCAAGAAGCTGAGGCAGGAGGATTGCTGTGAGTTCAAACCAGCCTGGGCTACATAGCAAGACCCTACCTCAAAATAAATAAATAAATAATAGTAATAATAATTAATAAAGGCAAGTGGAAATTACTGCAATGTCTCCTGGTGAGTGAGGGTACTGGTCTGGCCCAAGGCAGCAGCCAAGGGGAGAAGCAGGAAAATTCAGACCCCGAAGGGCTGGCTGTGGGTCTGAGGGGCCAGAGCAGTGGCTACCATGAGGAAGAGCAGGTCTGGGCTGGTGATGGAGTCTGTTTTGGCTATGTGAGGTCTGAAGCCACAGACTTCTGAGTGGAGAGGGCTGAGTCTCAAGGAGAATCTTGGCTGGAGGCAGGAACCAGTGTCCTCGAGGACAGCTGTGACCACTGGAGAAAGCAGGGAGAGGTGTCAGGGCCCTGCAGCATCTGGAGGCCCAGGAGGCAAGGTGGAGCTGGCAAAGGTGACCAAGAGACCAGAGAAGTGGGCGAAGCAAGTGACTTAAAGAGAGTGGTGATCCCAGCACTCTGGGAGGCTGAAGCAGGAAGACTGCAAGTTTGAGCCTAGCATGAAGCAACTGAGCAACATAGTGAGATTCTGTCTCAACAAAACAAGGGCTGGGGATGTAGCTCAGTGCAGAGGCCCTGAGTTCAATCCCTAGTACCCTCCCCCCCAATAAAGAGTGGCCTGGGCCCAGGCATGATTCAGTGGTAGAGCATGTGCTGAGCACTTGTGAGGCCCTGGGTTCCATTCCCAGCACTCCATAAGAGGAAAGGAGAAAAGAAAAGAAAGAAGAAAAGTGACTAGTCGTACAGATGGACAGACCAAGTAGCAGCCGCCGGGTTGGCACCTGGTCTCGGCTCTAGCCCACAGCCATTAAGGATTTCTCCCAGACCTCAGACCCCATGCCGTCCCTCGGCTCTCCTGCCTTACCCTTGCCTTGCCCATCTGCCCTTCCTGTCCCCACAGCTGTGCCAGGGGGAGGACCTCAGGGATGAGATGTACTGCCAGGTCATCAAGCAGGTCACAGGACACCCCCAGCCGTGAGTGGGGATGGTGGGATGGGGCCTCTGGGTCCCGCGCGGCACTGTGGTCTGGCCAGCCTGAGCCCAGGCTCTCTGCCCCACAGGGAGCACTGTGCCCGGGGGTGGAGCCTCCTCAGCCTCTTCACAGGCTTCTTCCCCCCATCTACCACACTGATGCCCTACGTGACCAAGTTCCTGCAGGACTCGGGCCCCAGCCAAGGTGCCATGGGAGGGGAAGGGAGGTGGGGACTCCTGGACTTGGAATTTGCCAGCTGGAGAGCGGCTGGGACAGGCTTGTGACCTCTCACCCGGGCTTCTCTGCAGAGCTGGCCCGGAGAAGCCAGCAGCACCTCCAGCACACGATCAAATACGGGGGGCGCCAGCGACTGCCCCAACCGGGTGAAATGCGAGCTTTTCTGGTATCTGGGGTGGAAGGATGGGCCTTCTGGGGCTCCCCAGGGGGAAGGGGATATCCACAGGGCAGCTGTGACCTGACTGCTGGTGACTGATCCTATAACCTCCCTTGACAGAAAGGGCAAGCAGTCCGCCAGCTTCTGATCCACCTGCCCGGGGGTGTGGACTACAGGACGAACTTGAAGACCTTCTCGGTGAGGGGGAGGGCCCGAGGAAAGAGGCCATGGGGCTCAGCTCTGGGCCTTCCAGCCTCCCTCCCACACTGTCATTCCCCTGTCCACATGCCCAGGTGGCAGGAGAAGTGCTGGAGGAGATGTGCGGGAAGATGGGCATCACAGACCCCCAGGAAATACAGGAATTTGCCCTTTTCCTCATCAAAGGAGGTGAGCCCAGGCAGCGGGAGAGAAGGGAACCCAGCTGTTTCCTGTTCACCAGGAGGCAGCGTCTGTGCTGGGGCAGCAGGGCGGGCCGTGGGCAGTGCTGGCCTGGGCTCCTCATGCAGGTGAGCTGGTTCGGCCCCTGTGGCCCCACGAGTACCTCAACAGTGTGGTGGTGGGCCAGGACACGAGCCTGCACAGCCAGCGGCTCAGCTGGGAGACCCCGCTGCACTTCGATCACCCCATCTACATTGGCACCCACTATGGCCAGGTCAGCCCCTGCTCCTGGGTTGCCATGCAATGCCCAGCAACTTGAGGGTAGGGTTCCTGCCAGGGGCACCTCTACCCACCCCCCAGTGACATGTTCTGTGGGAGCTGAAAGGGCTGCTGGCAGGAACAGGCTTTGAGTCCCAACAGGTGGGGACCAGACTGCTGGGGACTTTGGGGCACAGCTGCCCCTCACAGCCCTCCTCCTCAGGTGCTGCGGGACTACCTACAGGGGAAGCTGATGGCCCACGCCCAGGCAGATGCTCAGCTTGCCCAGCTGGCTGCCCTCCAGCACCTTGGCAGGGCCAGCAAGAGCCCCCCCTCCGAGTATGTGAGCGTGGTCCCAATACCTCCTCCTGTCGTGCCTCTTCCCACCTGGGCACCACCCCCCACTCCCTCCTCCAAGCCTAAGGCCACTCCATTTAACCCTTCCTGCCCCTGATAAGACTGGCCTAGAGCAGTGGACACCTGTCCTCCCCACCCCACTCCAGGCTCCTCTGGGGCAGGGTGATCACCTTGTTCACGTGGGTCCTTAGTCTTATCCACAGTGGGCACTTGGTCAGTTACCTGGCACCGCAGGCCCAGCCTTGGGCCAGCTGGTCAACGGTCCTGGGCCTAACTAAGCCAGGCTGTGTACCCTAGGCAAGACCTGCTGGGTTACATACCGAAGACACTGCAATGGCAGGTGAACATGGCCACCATAGAGAGTTTGATGGGCCAGGAGCTGAGGCAGCTGCAAGGACACAGCTCCCAGGAAGCAAAGATTAGCTTCATTGGTGGGTCTGGGAAAAGGGGGCTGCAGGTCCAGGAGGGATGGGCCAAGGGTGGAGAGGCAAGGTGGCTTCTGGGCCTGCCTGTCCCTCACCTGCCCTAGGAGCAAAATAGAGCCCTCACAGTCAGAACTCAAGTTCTGGCCTTCTCTATCCCCAGAGGCCACGCGCCAGCTGCCCCTCTTTGGCTATAACGTGTACGTGGTGCTGCGAGTAAGCAACCTAGTGCTTCCTGGACCTGTCTTCTTGGGGCTCAATCGCCAGCACCTTGTCCTCATGGACCCCACCTCCCAGGTGGGCAAAGTTCCCACCCCAGTGCTGTCCTGGGAACCCTCAGGCCGTTCCTCTTGCATCATATGTTGACCCCCACTCCAGAAGAACCAAGCTCTGCTGTCTCTGCTGCCCCTAGAAAATGTGCTGCTCCATAGCCCTGAAGGACCTTCAGCGGGCCCACCTGCTGAGCCCACTGAAGGTCAACGGGCCCCCTGGACTGGAACTCAACTATGGCCTGGCCGACAGTCCCCAGACTATCTGGTTGGAGCTACCACAGGTGAATGGCCAGGGCTTCTGATGCCCTCAGGAAGGAGGATATGAGTGCCTCCGCCCAGCCCTGGCATATAGCAGGAACCCAGGCTCAGGGCTGAGCCACAGCTCAGGGGCAGTGAGCAGGGCAGTGGTGGGGACTGACAGGGAGCCCAGTGCTGACAGGCCTTTCTCCGAGCAGGCCCAGGAACTACTCCGCACCATCATCTTCCTGCTGGATGGTAGCGTGTCTTCCACTCAGTAACCCCGGTGGCCCGGCCTCATTTGAGGACCAGGAGATCTCTCCCTAGCCCAGGTCCCACCTGGATCCTCTGCCCTGGGTGCCAGCAGGTTGCTTTTGGTTGGGACCTCACCTGGCTCTGCTCTGAAACCTGCCACAGCACAACCTGGCTGGCCCAAGTGGAGGCTATGGGGCAGGGAGTGCCACAGTGACTTCAGGTGGGAAAAAAAGTAGTCACACTCCCTCTGGGGTGGGCCAGGGCCGTGTGGGGGCTGCAGAAACCTGGCTTGGACATCTCATGTTGGCCAGCCTGGGGGAGATGCCCACCTAGCCCCAAGTATCCACCCAGGCTCAATGTCAGCATGAGCCCAGGGCTGGAAGAAGCTGCTGAGGAAATAAAACTCTCAAGAAAAAAGGGCTGTGTGTACACATGTGTGTTGGGCAAACAATACTTTATTCCTCTTGTAAACATCAGTCAGACCTAGCCTTCCTGACCAGCAGCTGAGCTGGGCATGGGGCCTATCCGCCGCACCTCTTACCACCAGCTCTGCACCTGAAGCATAAGCTGGCATCTCAAGGGAAGGGGGAGCAGAGGCCCTGAGCAGGCCCCATACCTTGGGCAGGTGGGCCTCACCCCTGGCTAGGAACTTGCTGAGTATGAGGTGGGAGGGCCACTCCTGCCCTGCCCCTGGCAGCAGCCACGCCACCTGCCACCTTCTAACCTGGGGATCTGACCTAGAAAACCTGGCCATGAGGGCTACGAGAGGTAAGAAGACACTGAGGAAGGACCACAGGCTTTGCAAGCAGGAAGGTGGGCTGACCCTTGACCTCTGACTTGATTTTGGAACCATCAGGAACCATCTCCAAAGTGAGCTATGGCTGGCAGGGGGAAGGACCCTGAGAAAGATAGTGCCCCTGGCATCAGCAGGCCTGCCCAGCTCCCTACTTCTGAGCAAGGCCTGAGCTGGCTCATGACTCTGGGGAGGTGGGCAGCTCTGTGGGGCCAGCAGTGGGTCATCTCTGTGGGCCACACAAATTGTGCCAGTCAGCTTCACTCTCGCACCTCACACAGCCATGGAAAAACTGCTTGATGAGGCTCTGGGCTTCTTCCCTCACTGTGGATTCAGAGCAGGTAGACAGGAAGAGGTAAGGGCTAGTATCCTCCCTGCAGACCCCTAGTGCCTCTGGGCCTTGGGCATGTTGGCACTCACCACTCCTTCCAGGCAAGGTCTTCTGAGTCAGCAAGTGTGAAAGATGGCGAGCAAAGCGTTTAAACAGCTCCTAGAAGGCAGAGAGAGGAGGGAGCAGACAGCAAGAAGAGCAGGAGCCACCCAGAGCCAGGAGAGCAGAGTTAGACTGAGATTTAGCCTGCTCTGCCCTGCTTTGTTCTGGGGTGCATGCTGCCCACCTCCCCTCATTGCACCCAAGTGCTCTGGGGAGGATAGAGCCCATCTATTCACCCTACCTTGGAAGCAAACTTGCCCTCCTTGTAGAAGGGGGTCAGGTACCTGACCACAACATCTGCAGCCTCCTTCAGGGAGATCCCAGGAGCTGAGAGCTGGCAGGGGTATTGGGCTATGGCATTCAAGGTGCCCTGATCACTGGCTGAGATGCTGCCCTTGCCCTCCGCTACGATGGAGGGCTTGACTGAGGTGCGAGGCCTCTTCTGAGCCGGGATCTCGGGGTTCTCCTAGACAGGGCCACGGGGGGGTGGGTCACTTCATTTCACTGCCCCCCCAAAAAACTATGCCTTAGCATCAGGCAGTTCCCTCCAGCCACAGGGGTGTGGAAAGAAGTGATGATTTCCTCTGAATCCCTGACCAGGGAGAAGCAGCTCCTGGCCTCTTCCACAGGCCACCTCCCTTCCCTCATCTTCCCCCATGGTCTCATCCCTAGAGGTACCTGCTGATGTCTTGGCCGCTTGCCCATCTGTCTCCCCTTTGAGGGGCTGGGCGGTGCTTCCGGAATCCCCTGGTCTCTGAGTGGGCAGGTGCTGGCCAGAGGGAAGAACAGTATTAGAGCTCCAGGGCCAGCTGCTCCCACAGCCCAGGCAGCCAGCAGAGCCCAGTGAGGCCCACTAGCAGAGTACACTGCCATGTGGACTCCGGACACAGGCTTCATATGCATGGGATTCCATGACTGACTAGGCCCTCACCTTGGCCATTCCCCAGAATGCTTCTTGGTGTGAAGGGCAGTCACGTGTCCTTGGGCTCCATCTTCCTCCTCTGTGGACTTCTCTGGGACCATGAGAGGTCCCTGCACCCCCTCACAGGAGGAACTGGCACCTTCTGCCCTTGGGGCCAAAGCAAATGCAGGCGGATTTTCTGCCTTTTGGCAGAAGCGGGCAATACTCTGGGAATCCTTGTGAGCCGCTGCAGCTAGGAGCTGCTGCTTCTTGTTGGCCTGGGGCTTGGCCACAGACCTGTCTTCAGCAGAGCCTTTTATCTTCTTCTCAGGGCGGGGGCCCCAACAAGAAGCACTGCTGGCAGGGGCCTCTCCACTTGGCCCAGGGAGGGGCTCACTTCTGTCCTCATCACGGAGAACACAGGGCCAGCTGGGGGGCTCCTGCTCACCTCCTTGTATGGACTGGGGGCCTTGCTCCTGTGTCTGAGACTTCCCCATCAGCTCAGTGGCTGTCTGGAATGGGGAGGAGCCTTTGGGGAAGCCAGCTCCCACCCTCTTGGCTTTGAGCTGTGAGGAGAAAGAGGGAAGGTTCAGACCCTCAGGTCCCCTCGAAGGTGCCAGCTGGCTGCTCCAGAGGTGGTGTGCTGGGGTGGGGGTCTCAGGAGTGAGGGAGGAGCTGGACACGTGCCACTTGGGGCTGAGGCTCATAGGAGAAGAGACCAGAGCTGGAAAAGGCACGGCTGGCAGAGCAGAAAGGCTCCAGGGGCCTTGTCTGCCGCCCTAGGGCTAGGGCTGTGATGCCAGGAGAGACCAGAAGGCTGTGACCTACCTGGGGCAAAGGAAAAGTGGAGCCTTTCCCAGACTCATGTTTGGGGTGGACACCAGGACACCACTCACCGAGTACATGTGGGAGGCTGGTGGGATGTCATACTCGTTGGGTTCTGGGGGCTCCACCTGGTCACTGCCGCTTTTGGTGCCACCTCCCATGTCATACAGCTGCCCATCCTTGGAGGCTTTGTGGATCTCAGCCACCTGGGCAGGGACAGGCAGGGAGGGCGTGGCAGCCATGAGCTCCTCCTGATAGCCCCAATCCAAGTCCTCCTTTCCCTTGAGGCACAAGAAGGAACTGGACATTGAACAAGTTCCAGTCCTCCTGAGGGTGACGAGACATGTCAGCTGGCCAGGAAGCTGGCTCTACACTCATAAATGGCTCCTGGAGTCAGAGGGCTGGCAGACAGTCTTGGAGTATGGAGGGGCTGCCCTTTCCTACCCTGAACCTGGAGGTGTGCTGTCCCACCCAGGCCCACCTTCTTCAGCACGCTGGCCTTGTACAGGTTGGCCATCTTTGCATTTCGGAATGTCTCATGTTCCAGGTCCACAGCCCTGGTGCGAAGGTCCGCTCTGTGGGCAGGGATGAGCACACATAACAGGACCTGAGCCCTCTCCCTATAGACCTCAGTTTCTCCAGGACTATGACGATGGGCACAGGGACTCTGACTAGGTCTCTTGGGGACCCTATGGCTCAGTGACTGTCAGCAGTCACTGGCAGCCCCTAAGTGTGGCCATGCCAGCCCCTTGATGCGGCTGAGGGACTGGTGCCCCTGGAGTATGGTGGGTCACAGTCTGGGGTGGAGAGGCCCAAACAAGTCAAGGGGATGTGGGCTCTAGCAGGCTCCTCAGAAACAAAGGCTTTGAGAGCTGCCCTGCCCTGGATGGCTGGCCCTTGGTCTCCAGTCCCAGAGATCTTGGGACACTCACCCATCGGTGGACCCTGCAGCCTGAAGGTTACTGCTCAGAGCCTCCTCCAGAAGCCCTAGGCAATGCTCTCGGGCCTACAGGGAAAGGGAAGTCAGTCACCCAGCTCAGGTTAGGGAGAGGCCCTGGCAGCAGGTGAGGAGCTGCTCTTTTCTTACTTTCACAGTGAGCCTGGGGATCTTCTTGCTAGAAGCTTCTTTCAGGGGACAGTCCTCATCTGGGGAGAGGAGGAATGGGTCCTTCCATTTGACTTCCTGCTTTCTGGAGGCCCCCAACTCCCCAATGAGACATCTACCATCCACACCCCGAGCATGGCCCACAAGTCCCTAGAAACATTTCTGTACCAACCTGGGGGTATGAATTCTTCTATCTTGGGGTCTTTGCCCTAAAAGATGGCATGAAGGGCCCATGAGGTATCCTGCCCTGCTGTAGGACAGCCTCCACCCAGCGCCAGGGAAGGGGCTGAGGAGGTGTGAGCAGGGGACCACCTGGGACCCTGCATGCGTTGCTGAGCCCCTGCTGAACCCTCTGGCCCCTTCACCTTGCGCAGACTCATCTGCTTCTGATAGAAGAGACTCCATTCTCGCTTGTGAGCCTCATCTCTGCCCTCGTCGCCACTGCCTCCAGAACCGTCATCATACCTGGGGGACAGGCTGGGTATGAGCAGCCCCAGGCTGAGGCTTTGCCCCCCTCACTCGTGCATTTAGGACAGTGATGTCCATGGCACCCTGACAGCTCAGGACAGGGTCCAGGCCCCACCATGGCCAGGGGACTGAATGGAGCACTGTGCCACCTCTGTCTGCCCTTAGCACCAGAAGAATGACAGACCTGGTCTCATGACCCCTCACCTGCTGAATCCCCCATAGCCCCTGCGGCCTCCCTCATACAGCTCAGGGTCGAAGCCATTTCCCTGGGAGGGCCTGATGCAGGTCTTGGTCCAGCTGCTGCTGTGCTCCAAGAAATCCAGCTGCCTCCGCACAGCTGCAGGATTCTGGCAGTGGTCACAGCCTTTGGTGCAGGCAGGTGGTGCATCCCCAAAATACTTGGCAATGGCAGCGTGGCGGCACCTGGAGCATGTAATACAATAGAGGTGAGGGGCGAGGGATGCATCAGGCCACTGTTTGTTCACCTAATCCCCAAACACTGGCTGAGTGTCACAATCTGGCACCATGCTCAGCCTCTCACACACCTCACCTTATGAGGTCACACAAGGCATCATCTGACTCTGCCCATGGTACAGCTGGAGACAGTTACGGTCACAGGATCCCCAAGGTCCTATGACACATGGGGGTGGGTAGGAGCCAGGATGTGAACACCACTCTGTCTGGTTACTCCTCTGGGTCCAGAGCTTCTGCCTTCCCTCTGTCCTGGGGCAGGGTTGCCCTCAGAAGAGTTTAGGCTCCAGTGCAGATACTGGCTCTGCTACCATGGCACCTACATGTTCCCATCTGTGAAATGGGCAAGAGAGCACTGGGCATCATAACAATACTGCCCCTCACCTTTCTCTGGGTGACAGAGGGAGGGAACAGCAGGAGAAGACCTGGCCTCAAGATGCTGTTCTGCTTGTCTCTTGATGGCCTTTTCCTTGTAGGCCCTGACAAACCTCTATCCCAACTCACTGTATGCAGTATGAGGCTGGGGGCACAGCGTACGGCATGACCTCCCCACAAGAGACAGCAGTTAAGCAGGCAGTTCTGAGCAGGCATTGTACCTAGTCACTGGAGGGCACATTCAGCCAGGGAGTGTCTCCCTCTCAGCTTCCACTACCTTGGCCCTGCTGCAGCCCCCCTTGAGCTGACCAGCCTCAAGGTGAGGCAGGGAGCAGCCTCCACTTGGTCCAGGAAGCTCAGCCTCTTCTCTGGGCCCCAGGCTGTGGCCCTGTCAACCCTTGGGCAGGTAGATAGGCCATAGCTCTGTGAGGATCCTTACAAATCCTGGTGGATTCCTGCCACCAGGAATGTGATAAAAGCAGGAGAGCCCAAGAGAAGATGCTGGACCAGAGGAAGGGCTGCCTGGGGTGCAGATCTCAGGGACAATAACTGCTGGCACCAAGTGCTCTGACCAAAGGTCCTCTCAATGTGATTCCTGTCTGGGACTGTGATCTCAAAGAACAGGCTCAAGGACCAAAAGCTGTGATGCAGCCCCTAAAGAACCAGGATGGGGTCTCCCTCTAGCCAAATGGAGAATGCAGCTGTGAAGCAGAACAGGTGGTGGGAGACAGTGGACATGGCCACCAGGAGGCGCTCTTCTCCCTGCTCCCATTAGTGCTGAATAAATATGACAAATGTTCCCTCCACTGGAGCCTGTTCACCCACACAGTGGCCGCCTGTCTGGCTTCTGGGAGCCACTGGCATCCAAGCAGTGTGGCCACGGGGTTTGCCTCCCCAACCCCAAAGCCCTGACTCACTGGGGTTTTGTGCTCAGATTCAAAGAGTTCCATTGACTGTAGGGCTGGGGTCAATTTCTCTGCGGGCAGTCTGGTCTGCTGGGTGGCAGGACCAGCCAAATGTCAAATGGCCCAGTCACTGGGCTCTGAAGCCCCTCCCTGTAGCTGGACCAGGAATATGGAGACAGCTGAGCAGAGTGAGACCAGCAGTGTTCTTCCTCTTAGGAGGAACACAAGGCCCAGCAGACCATTCCCAGGACACCCAGGATTCTCAGTTCCCCCCAGGAAATCTCTGGATGTTAAATAGCAGAAGGATCTCCCCAGGGGCTGCCTGCAAAGTCAGCCGGCTCGCTTGGGTGGTCTGGCAGCTCCGCCACTATTTACTTTCTTTCCCGGGAGAGGTGAAAGGGAGGGACCAGCCAGGGAGTGGCCTGAAGGACAGGCTGGGGTGGTCAGGGAGCTCAAGAGCTGGGACAGCTGCTCCACCCTCTTCCCCTATAGGCTCAGGCCGAGCCCCCTGGGGTCATCTCCACAGGGAACCAGAGCTGAAAACTGTCAGCAACCCAGCCCCGCCACAGCCCAGCCCACAAGCAGGAGGGAGGGGAGAGGAAGAAGAAAAAGAGAGGGAGCTCATCCTGAAGCCGACCTCCTAGGCAGGGAAAGGCTAGTACAAAGTGTAGGACAGGCTCCAACAAGGGCTCCCTCTGGCTCCCCCTCTCGATGGTAATTTGACACTTGCATCTCTAGGACGACCAACAACAAAAAAGCTGGGGCTGGGACAGCAGCTGGCTGTCAGCAGCAGGAGCTGTCGCTGAGGAAAGGTGCCCAGGGGACCAGCAGTGGGACAGGAAAGCACCGTCCACGAAGACAGAACAAGGTGGTGGCCAAGGGCCCAGGAAGGCACACAGAGGCTCTATACTTGGACACCCTTCTTGGCTCCTCAATACCTCTGTTTCCAGGTGAGTAGTGCAGGGATGTGCTTGAGGGATGTGCTTGGCCACCTCCTGTGCACACCTGAGCTCTCCCTCCCTCTGGGACTCTACACTAGGAGACTGGGGACTCTGCCCAGCGCACTGGCCTCCTGCTTGCTGTGCAAGTCAGTTAAAGCTTTTTCTATTCAATGGGCTTAAAAGACGGATTTGGTTGTCCTGCCACTGTATGCCTGCTGAGCCTCCATGTTTCCCAGGATTAGGGGTATCCCTCCGTGTCTCTGCATTCTCCCCAGTTGCAAAGGTTCAAGATAGGGTATGCCCAGCCAGCTCACAGCTGCCCAGGATGCAGAAGGACCTGCAGCAACCCTGACCACCTTGTCCTTCTGAGGTTCAGCCTACTTGTTGTCAGGTGTTCTCAGCTCAGGCGCAGGGAGGAGTCCTGGATCCATTTGGATCCCCAGGAGTCCTCAGACCTCCCTCTGGCAATGTGGCAATGAGGTCTGAACACAGGACCAGGGTCACGCATGCCTCATTCTAAACCCAGACGCAGGGGTGAGGAGATGGGGATGACAGGAAAGCCTGGGAGGGAGCCCCTTTATCTGCCTGCTAGTCAGTTTTCTGCCACAACACTGTGATGCCAACCCTGAGATGGTTCTTTGGTTCTTCAGGCAGTATCAAGCCCAGCCCTCCCGCGCCAGCCTCATGAGCAGAGGCTGCCTATTCCTTCTGCCTCCTGTTCTCACACCAGGGTTCAAACCCCTTCCCCTCATCTCAGATCAAGCAAACAAGCTTTATCTAGCAAGACAGGGAAAAACAGAAACCAAGGATCCGGCCAAGTACTTGGGCACAGCTAAAGCCATGGGCGTTGGCCTGGGTTGGTAGCTCGGAGATTAACTCCTGTGACAGAGGGAGAGGACTTAACTGAAGCTGGGCTGTGCCCAAGGCAGCAGGTGAGGCCAAGCAAAGGAAGAGTACAGGTGTACTCCAGGCAGGCAGCTGCCTGCCTGCCCTGAACCCACCAGACACAGGTGGATAGGGTCCCTCCAGCTGTCCCTGGACTAGGACAGAGGGGGATGGCCAGCTTCGATGGCTATAGGGAAGGAGCTAGTCCAGTTTCTAACAGTCACCAGAGCAGGAAGTCCTTCTGTCCTGGAACACTGCAGGGCTGGGGCTGCAGAACCAAGGATTTAAGCACCTACTTTTTATTTCAGGGCCAAAGAAAGAGTTGTCCAAATGCTCTGCACTCTGCACAGTGGGCATCTCTGCCCTGCGAGTCAGGCCTCTGAGTCCCACAAATCTATAACTGTTGGTTATGCCTCATTCGAGCAGCTTTTTAAACAAGAAAATGTCCAGTAGGGAGAGGATGGCTGAGACACACCATGACAAAACAATAGGGGCACAGCAAGAAGCCCTTCAGGCTTATGAGCCATCAAGCACACTGTTTATCAGACACAAACATACTGCCTGTTCTCTTTCACACAAGGAGCCTGGAGTCAGACTATCAGTTTTTCGAGACGGAAGCAGGGAAGCCTTGGTACTGAGTGGTAGCCGTCTGGCCTCAGGATCCCTGCTACTCTATGGCAAGGCTTCCTGTGCTAAGAGATGCCACACAAAAGAACGCTGCCCAGTCCCTCTAACTCTGCCAGCCTCCCTCTGCCCTGTTGGCTCTCTCCTTCTACTGGCTGCGCCCCAGCCAGGGAATACCCCTCAGAAGTCTCTGAGAAGGGCTGCATGGGCAGCCTGGGCAAGGGTAGGGCCCAGTGGCTGTGTAGGCTGCTCTCTCTGCCTAGGGCCAGGGGGAGCCATCACTTGTTCTATCCCCCCCCCCCCGCAAAAAAAACTGCTTAGGACCCAAGAAAGCTCCAATGGAGGCACTACCAAGCATGAGGTTGGGAGGGACTCTGAATCCCCTGCTTCTCAGACAGAAAGTACAGTTTTAGAAGAAGTGTGATGAATCTGAAAGGCGAGGAAAATACAGAATTGTCACTAGTGGTACTTGGCTTCCCTGCCTTCTCCTCCCAAACCTAGGAGGATAAAGGGCCAAGAGGGACCATCCCAGAGCTCCCAATCTCCCCTGGCCACAGCTGGGAACATGCCACTGTGTCACCTGACAGCTGCTGGCTATATCAGGCACCAGGCAGTCAGGCACTGGCCTTGCTTTAAATAGCCCACTGGGAAGCTGTGTGGGGACCTATTGGAATGTGCCTCCTTCCTTTTTAGAAAAAAATACCCCTCAACCCCTCACCAATCCCGTGGATCTGTTATGCTCAGTCAACAACCTAAGCTTGAAATGACAAAATACCAACCGCCAGGCAAAGAGAGTTCCACTTCAGCTCTTTGGGAGTAGAACAACCATGCCCAGCACCCCCACTTCTCTGCACAGTGCAGAGGGCAGCCCTGGGTCTGATCCCAGAGCTAGGTGAGGCTGGCCAAGACTAGCTGGCTAATTCAGCTCCCAGTCAATTGCCTACAGACGTTCCAGGCTCAAAGCTGCAATGCAGCTCACCGCTGTGGACCAACCTCTTCCCAGAGTGGGGCTAGGCCCACTGGCCATAAGTCTGCAGCTTTCTGACTTCAAAACCCCCTGAGGATGCTCACTGCTTTTGTAGCTGAAGCTCTGATGAAGAAAGCCCAGGTTCATTGCATAGCAGCTTCAGCTTCAGCCTCAGGCTCGGCCTCCTCCACTCCAGAAACCCCAACTCAGATGGCCTCAGGGTCCCTACACCACTGCTCATTCATAAGCAGGTGTCTCCTCTCCCCTCACAATCTCTCCCTAAAATCTTTGGGTGTGGCTCACAAGTAAGAAGGTGCTCCCTGTCCACCCCCCTGCTGCTTGCTTCCTCTTTTAAGGAGTGTCTTCATAGGGCTAAATTACGCAACTTGGGCATGGTGCCAACCAGGCTGAAAAGGCCAGATTAAATATATGAAGAGGGAGGGGGAAAATGCAGCTCCATTTCTGAACCACGTACAAAATCATTCCTCTAAGGACAAGACCCCTGGAAACCTGAGAATGGGGATAGCACAGAGGTCCCAGAGCAGGAGAGGGACCGCTGTCCTTACGCAAGCCTGCTCCATCTGGTCAGTGGGAGGTCTCGTTTGGTCTGACCAGAGGGGACGGTCCTATGCTCAGGCCAGCAGGGCACACATCTGTCCCTCTGATGATAAGTACCATGTGTGAATCCCAGAAGGCCTGATGGTGATGTGCTGGTAAAAGTGGGGCTCTAGTGCAGAGTCTACTGGGTGGGCAGGACCCTCAGTGGGGCTGCCGCTGCTCTGCATTATCTTCCTGCTGCTCAAAGCCGAAACTGGCCTCCATTGAGAGGGAGTAGGGCAGTAGGAGGTGTGCTGCCTAGGCTCTTGTCCTGCCAGTTGACCACAGAGAAGTCACATACTCTTGGGTCTCACCTGCCCAGTTTGCAAAAGGAAGGCAGTGGGAGTAGGTGAGCAGTAGCTACCCAGGATTCTGTGCCCCTTCATACTATGCAAAATGGGATCCAATCTTTAGAGAAATGCACTAACTTGGGGTAAAGTGTGAGAAAAGCTGGGAGGATGTTAACTCAGGAAACCTCCAGCTTCTGGCAGGAAGTCATCTACTTTTCCATGGAGCCATCACCTGCCTGCTACTCCCATTGTCACTAAATCTACAACTCCCCTTGTCTAACTTGTTCACCTTCCTTCAAAACACACACCAGAACCATCCTAGGAATGAAGGACAGATGATACTCTCAACAGGTGTTTAGGGAGGACAGTATACGAGGGCAGGGTGACAGCCCACAGAGCCAGGGAGACCCAGGGCTCCCTCACCTCTCCTGGGCCTGGCCTGGCCCTACCCACAAGGTGTTCCCAAGGCAGACCCCTCCCTGAGGCTGTTTGCTGCTCCCCATGACCGTTAGATGACCAGTGCCCCAGCAGCTTGAAAGATGGGCATTTCAACTCTGTGTCAGTGCAGAGATGAAGGAACCTGTCCATGTCACAAGAGGAGAAGGGATGATTAGAACAGTGTTCTGTGAGAGACAGCTAGAACTTCTGAACCCACTGGGACAGAGGATCCCATGGCAAAAACTGGATCAACACAGTGCTGTCTCTTCCTCCTCGCCGTAGAACAATGCAGGAGTAAAGAAATCCAAAAGGCGCACGCCAGCTTTCATGCAGTTCCTACAGCCCAGTGAGGGAGCAGAGGGACAGCTGGGTCCTAAGTGACCAAAAGTGGGACTCACTGGGAAATAGGCAGGGGTCTGTGATGGGGTCTGCAATGGGGTGGGTGGCCTCAGCAGAGAGGGATTTCTCACTATCAAAAGTGCTCAGGCAGAGGCTGCAAGGCCACACCGGGGCAGCTGGTACAAGGTAGAGGGCTCAATGAGATGTCCTGCAAGGCAATTCTAAACTTGCTATGCAGGAAGCAGCACCGAACTGACAGGCCTTGCAGACTTAGCCATCTCAGGGAAAACCTCAACAGAAGGCAGTGCCCACCCAGTTGAGATAAGGACGAGGTGGCAATCATTAAACCTGACGGTCTGATGCAAGCCCCTGACCACCTATCTTCTACTCCTACCCCCAAGATTAAAGCAACTGTCTTGGTGAACCACTTCAGGCTGGGTTGGTACAAGGTTTCCCCTAGTCCTTCTCTAAAGAGGCCCTGGCTCCCTTGGGCTCACAGGAGAGATGGAAGGAGAAAGAAGCCCTGATGCACAACAGGCCCCAACTCACACATTCAGCCTAGAGCTTGCCCTTGGGCCTCTTGGGCACCCCTGGACAGGAAGAGGCTCTCTGGGGTGGGGGTGGGAGAGGCCAAACCTGGTCAGGCCAGAGGAACGGGTCCAAGGCCACAGGGGAGGGGCTGGCTGAGCCAGCCCTGAAACTCCTGACCCCACTGACCAGGATCCTCTGGCAAACTGGATCAGCATGGTGCTGCTTCTTCCTCCTCATGGTAGAACAACGTAGGAGTAAAGAAATGTGGGAGAGGCAGAGGCAGTGGCAGTGGACACCTGTAATCTCAGTTACATAAGAAGACAGCAAGTTTGAGATCAGCCTGGGCAATTTGGTAAGATCCTGTCTCAAAATAAAAAGTGCTGGCTATTGTGGCTTTCTTCACAGTAGCCCACCCTACTTTCTTCAGGGTGTCCTTTTATTGTTTTTTCTCCTTTTGCTTGGCCCAAGCTCACTCTGCAGAGCCAGTTTCTCCCTCACTCTTCACTTTTACTTTCTCAAATAAACTTGGCCCATTGCTTTTTGAAAATAAAATAAAATAAATGAAAAGTGCCAGGGCACTAGTAGGTAGAGGTCTGGGTTCAATCCCTAGTACAAAAAAAGAGGGTGGTGGGACAGTGGGTTGCCCCAAGAGATTCAGCTTCATTCCCCAAAGCCAGAAGCACCCCTCTCCCATCAGTTTCCACCTACCCTAATCCCAGTCAGACCACATCCCCTCAGGCAACCTGCTCTTTGACCCTGATCCTCCTGCTGCTGCATTCATCAAAGGATCAGATGCAAGCAGACCAGGCCGGAATCCCAGGGCCTGTCTTCACACCCTGACACCATCTGGGGAGGCACCTGAATGACCCAGGGGCCAGTAAGGGTCCTGTGTCAGCTAAGGCACCCTGGCCAACCCTGGCCATGGTATCTCAAGACAGAAGAATGTTAACAGTGAAGGTGCTCCACCTCGTGGTCAGGAACCTTCACCAAGCTTAGCCTTGGCTGGCAGCACCCCCAGGCAGGCTCTCAAAGTCACCCTCACCCTCCATTTCCCTCATCCTGGGAGCGCTGGCTAGGTGCAGGCTGAGGGCTGCTACTGAGCACACAAGACTTCCTGCCTCCTCAGAACCACAAGGGGCACTAGGAGAGAACCTGACAAACCCGTTCTGCGGGGTGCAGTGGGAGAGAGGGTGGCTTACTGGTGCTGCCTCTCACTCTAGATTCTCTTTCTGCCCCGCACAGCCCGCTGGAGCTCTGGCAGGAGTGCACACAGGATGGCGGCCACAGACTTTGTACAGGAGATGCACTCTGTGGGTGAGAGGCTGCTGCTGAAGCTTCGAGGACTGCCGCAGGCTGAGCCCGTGGAGCTTGTGGCCTTCTCCGTCATCGTCCTTTTCACAGGCAAGTGGGGGCACTCAGATTCTCCTCAGCACCCACCCCACAGGTCTCTGGCATCTGAGAGAGACTAGACCAGTGACAGTGAACCTTTTAGCGGTTTCAATGATAAAAACAGCCCACTGCAGCACACATGCCATAGGTTTGCCACCACTAGGTCAGACCACAGTACTGGCTAGGGGGTTCATGGGGTTGGCAGGTGTCCCCCAGATGAGGGGGAAAGGCAGTCGTCCCTCGAGGGATCCCTCAAGGGATTTTTCCCTATCCTCTGACACTGTCCACATGATGGGCAATGCTGGGAAATGGACCCAGCAGCACTGTCAGATGTCAACCCAGGGATGAAGGGAGCCACGCTTGGGCAGTAAAGGAGAGGGAGGTCAGGGCCTGAGGATGGTCAGTGTACCCCATCAGACTCTCAGGTCCTTCTGACACTACACCAGACCTGGGGAGGAGATCCTAGCACACCTCCGGGGGGCTTCTTCGGAAGGAGGGTGGGGACCCTTTCCCTTCCAGGGTCTGACGTGCCCATACTCTCCCATCCTGCAGCCACTGTTCTGCTGCTGTTGCTGATAGCCTGCAGCTGCTGCTGCTCACAATGCTGCTGCCCTGAGCAGAGAGGCAGGAAGGTCCAGGTACAGCCCATGACCCCGCCATGAGGGACGGTACAGACACCAGAAGAGAAGCTGGAAAGGAGACAGCCAGAGCCATGACACAGGCCGTCAGCTTGAGCCTGCAGTTCTTACCTCTCCAGACAAAGATACCCTGGCCTGTGCCAGGACACTGATGCCTGGAGCCTTATCAAGAAAACAAGGTACAAAACCCAATCTGCCAGTGGACCCTGGATGCTGAGGAAGAGCTGACTGTTTCAGACTCAGTAAGTCACCTGAGTTCTTTGCCAACCTGCACTTTTTACAAAACAAAGACACAAGGGTCTTCATTCTTTGATGGAGAACAGCCCACATGTGTGGGCAGCTATTCCCTGGGGTTCTGCTGATCCATGCCAAAGAGGAGTGAGCCAATCAGAGGGGTTTTGTGCAAAACTACAGGATCCCAGGTTCCCTGACAGGGGGAACATGTTTATTTCTAAGTAAAAGCTTTTTGGTTATGTGTTTCTAAGGCTGGGCTGGGCTCCATGCAATAGGACGGTGGTGCCAGAATTCTAGGGGTGTGGACAGTGACTGTTCTTTATAGGCCACAGCTCTGTCTGTGGCCATGAAAGCTGGAAAATTTCACAAGGAATGCCATGCAGGCAGCAATGCCATGAAAACAGTGGAGGTGCATGGAAACATTCCTATCATGAATAGCTGTTAACAAGCACTGGCTGCTGGATGCCTACTCTGCTGAGTGACGGAGGCTGTTTGCTTCAGGGCAGGTGCTAGGCCCAGGAATGCCACAGCCTATAACTTCTACCTGCACATTCCATACTAGCCAGCTCAGGCCACTGGATCTTCCCAAACTTTTGGAGCCAGAGAAGAAAGGTTAGCTCCTAGTATGGTCTGATAAAGTTTTTGTTTTGTTTTGTTTGTTACTGGGGATCAAACTCGGGTCCTTGCGCTTGCGCAGCAGGCGGCAAAACCACTGAGCTAAATCCCTGGCCCCCTAGTATTGTCTGTAACCTGCATCCTGCACCTTTGGTCTTGTCTCCATTGTATGATGACTGGGCTCACACCTAGATCTGCCACTTATCAGGTGTATGACTCAACCTTCCTGAGTCAGGTCTCCTCCCTAGTAAAACGGGAACTGCCCCACATCCTAGACCAAGTGAACAGCAGTGTTTGCTGGACCCGCTGCAAGCAGCCTAAGCAGTCTCCACAGTGGTCTCGCCAGCCTCTTCTGCTGTGGCCTCTGCTGTGCACCAGTGTCTGCTCTCAGTTCCTCGCTTATGAGGATAAACTAAGATGACCTACATCTAGCAGTTAGCACAATGTCGGGCATGTCCTAAGAGCTCCATAAATATGAACTGTCATTTTTTGTCTCTTTAAACAATCGATCAACCTAGAGCATCATGGACCCATTTTAAAGAATGTTCCTGCTGTAGTGCAACCTCCTTCTGGCTGCCCACCCTTCAGTTTTCTTTTCTAGAGACAAAGCTACAAACTCAGAAATGGGGGGAGTGGAGGCACACAAATGTGAAGCTCTATACATGCCATTGGGGCTGGGACAGAGCATTCTATCATGCCTTCCTTCTAACTGTCCAGAACCATCATACCAGGATCTATAGCTTTTCACATGCTTCTCCCATCTGGGTCTCCACAGCACATGCTCTAGTTTTTTGAGAGCACACCCGTCTACCCAGAAAACAGGTCATGGAGAGGATGCCAGGCCCTGCCATCTTCAGTTGGCAATCCAGGTCATGCAGGTAGGGACAAGCATGAGCTCTCACTGGCTCATTCCAGTTGCAGGTGTTCACTGACTCTCCTGATAGGTTTGGATTGAAGACTCAGAGAGGAAATATTTCCATACAAAAAGAAAGAAAGAAAGAAAGAAAGAAAGAAAGAAAGAAAGAAGGAAGGAAGGAAGGAA